AGAATGACTTACTTCTCCCACTGGGTCTTCCTCCGTTCCCTTGGCCTCCAGCTTGCCATAGCCCTTTTGCCTTGCCGTCCGACTCTGCACCAGCTTCAGCTCTACACTGACAGCTGGCGGACCCACGTGCGCGGGCGTTGCTCTGCCGCTGATCGGCGGCGCGGCGAAGGCCTGCAAGTCGAGGGCGTGGGACGCGGCGATGGGCGCAGTGAGTGCGCCGGCGGGGAGCGAGGGCAGCAAGGAGTGCATGACGGCGCAGCCGAGGGAGATGCGCAGCGCGTCCAGCGTAGTCTGCGACACTTGGCCCTCTCCCACAAGCGTCGCAGCGCGCACATGGCTCAAGCCAGCGCGGCGCCGCGTCGCGCCAAAGACGAGCGAGTCGGGCAGAGCGCCGGCAGAGAGGACGCCTGCGCGCAGTGCCGCCAGCTTGAGGTGTCTGGCGAGAGGCGTGAGGGGAGAGGAAGCGAGGGAAGAGAGCGCTGCCGCGAAGGCAGAAGAAGTCGAGGCAGTGAGATAGAGGAGCGATGCGTTTGCACGCTGCGCTTCCGGGCTGATCTTGCCTCCCTCGACAAGCGGAGCCGAAACGATGGATGCGCCCATATAGAGCGCCGCGAGTGCCAGTGCAAGAGCGCTTGGCGAGGCGCATGCAGAGAGGAGCGAGGCGCGCTCGAGCAACAGAACGTCGGAAGAGGTAGGCACCGCATCGGCGGCGTAAAACGCCAGCTGGGCAGTCGTGCCTGCGACGAGGTGGGCGTGCGTCACGGGCACCCATGCGCCCGCAGCTGCGAAGTGTGCATACGTCGTCGATGCATCGTGCGCCTGTGTCTCCTGCTCGGACGGAGAGGAGGAAGACGCGCGCCCTTGCGAGAGAATGTCGGCAAAGACGAGGGCGCGCAGCGCGCAGCGCGAGCGCGCGACGTCGGCATCGGCCGCGCTGGGGAGGATGAGGATGGCATCTGCTGCGAGAGGCAGTTGAAGTGCCGCATCGAGCGAGGAGAGGTCGGTGACGGCTGTCTTGATCGAGACGCCCGCAGATGGAATGGGCAGAGTGGAGGATGCGACGAAGAGCTCGAGCGCTCCCTGCTTGTGTCCGCGCGAAGAGGCAGGCGAGAGGAGGGTGACGAGGGCATCGTAGCTATCATGCGCCACGCAGAGCGCTACAGCGCCTTGCGCCTCGCCGAGTGCGAGTTGCACGCCGGCTGCAAAAGCTACTGCATCGGCCTGCACCCTGTCGAGCGAGGCAGGTGTGCCGAAGAGACTGCGCTGCGCCCCCGTCGCCTTGTCCGTCTGTGCCTGCTGCGTGCCTGCCGCGGCGTGCAGCAGCTGCGCCACATCATTCACGTGCCGACTGGGCCGTGCCGCCAGCTCAAAGCCGGCCGGTGCATTGACGTTGCGGTAGACTGGCGACTCGCGCGTGCGGTGCGTGGGCGAGACGTCGGCCTGGCGAGCGAGGATGAGCGGGTGGATGGAGGGCGTGTAGAGATGGGCAATGTGGAGCGAGAGGGAGAAGACGATGATGATGAGCACGAGGAGGAGCAGAGTGGCGTCGTCGACTACGAGCGAGGCCATGCTGGGTGAGACGAGGGGGGATGGAGGTGGAGAAGGAAGACGCACAGGCCACGCGCAGGCGCCGGCTGTGCAACAAGCGGCGCGCTCGGGACTCGGGCCGGTGCGCTTGCCTTCTTTCTCGCTCTGACTCGCGCGCGCGGGCTGCTCCTGCTCCTGCTCCTTGCCTCGCTACCTCCACCACCCCCACACACCTCCCTCGCACGCCATGCCGCTGCCCACAGCCGTCTCCGCGCGCCGGTCCGGCACGTCGCAGACCATCGTCATCAAGCTCGGCACCTCCAGCATTCTCTCCTCGCACACCTCGCAGCCCAAGCTCAGCGTGCTCTCGGGCATCGTCGAGACGTGCGCTGCACTGCGCGCACAGGGCCACCGCGTCGTGCTCGTCTGCTCCGGCGCCATCGGCATGGGCCGCCTGCGCATGGGCATCAAGGAGAAGCCAAAGAGCGTCGGCGAGCGCCAGGCACTGGCGGCGCTGGGCCAGCTGCGCCTCATTGCGCTGTGGGACAGCCTCTTTGGACAGGTGGGCATCAGCGTCGCACAGGTGCTGCTGACGCGCAACGACATTGCCGATGTGAGTGAGCGACGTGGTAGCGTGGCCAAGGCTGTGCTTGCTCATCGAAGCTGCGTCTGCAGCGTCCGCGCTACGAGAACGCACGCACCACGCTCGCCACGCTCCTCTCCACGTTCGACTCGATTCCCATCGTCAACGAGAACGACACCGTCTCCGTGTCTGAGCTGCGCTTCGGCGACAACGACACGCTCTCGGCCATCACTGCCGGCATCGTCGATGCCGACTATCTCTTCCTCTGCACCGACGTCGATGGCCTGTACACGGGCAACCCGAACAGCGACCCCCAGGCGCGCAGGCTGGGCCTGGTGCCGAGTGTTGCCGCGGCGCGCAGAGCTGGTGAGTGAGCCAGCGTTTTGCATTGCCTGGTACAGTCTCGCTTCTACTGCTGATGCCGGCGCTTTCGCACCCAGTCTCCGTCGACACGCCCGGCTCGTCGTTCGGCACGGGTGGCATGGCGACGAAGCTGATTGCCGCCGAGCTTGCGACTGCCGCTGGCGTAGCTACAGTGATCATCAATGGCGCTCATCCCGCCGCGATGCTCTCCGTTGTAGAGCGTGGTCTTCCTCCACTGGGAGACGCTGCCGTCGACTCGCTGGCCTCGTCCATCTCTTCGCTCGGTGCCGACGAGCTCGCACAGGTCGGCGCGCCGGCGCTCGAGGACCCGCCTCACACGCTCTTCCTGCCCATCTCTGATCCGCTGGCGCGGCGCAAGTGGAGTCTCTTGCATGCGTTGCATCCCGCAGGCAGTCTCTTCATCGATGAGGGCGCATACCGGCGTCTCTCGCGCCCTGACTCGGGCGGCCGGCTGCTGCCAGCCGGCGTCGTCGGCGTGGAGGGCACGTGGGAGCGCATGCAGGCGGTGCGCATCGTGCTGCGCCGTCCGGCATCTGACAGTGCAGCAGGTGCCTCGCATGCCGGCACCGCAGACGACGAGCTTCCGCCGCCGGCGACGCTGGCTCAACGAGGCTTGAGTGTCTTTCTGCGCAACGAGGCAGGCTCGGGCACCAGCACGCCCATCCATCTCGCCGGCGACGAGCCGGTGCATCTGGTGCCCGCAGCGGCCGTGCTGGAGGGCGAGGCAAGGGACAAGGAAGAGGAGACGACGCGGTGGGAGTGGATCGAGGTGGGCCGCGGGCTTGCAAACTACAATTCCATCGAGAGCGAGCGGATAAAGGGCATCAAGAGCTCGCAGATCTCGGCCACGTGAGGAGCGACGTCGCTGCGCCCAGCACTCGCAGACACTGACGCCTTCTCTGCTCCTTGCCAGCCTCGGCTACGCAGACAGCGACTATGTGCGTGCGACTCTGTGCCCGCGCTCCTCTCATCAGGCTGACCCTCCGCACGCGCACAGATCGTCGATCAGCTGGCGCTCCTGCCCACCGATGGCGCCGCATAGTCTCGCCGCAGCGTCGCGCTATGGCCTCTACATAGATCGCTCTCAGTCACCGGAACACCATCAGACTCAAATGCATGCAGCAGTCATTGATCGCGGTGCAGATGCGGGAGAGCGGCGCGGAGTGGGCTCTCGGCGCAGCTGCCGAAGCGAGGGGTCATGGACGAGAAGATCGAGCGGGACATGTGTGTGCGAGGCGATGACGGAGCGGCTGAGTGTGGCCCCGGCTTGGGCGAGAACAGGGTCTGATGGGTGGTATACAGGGCAGCCGGAGAACCGCGCCAGGCTCGTGTGCAGAGGGTCTATCGAGCAGCCGCGCGACTCAGCGGAGCAGGTGCTGCAGATCAGAAGCGTGCGTCAGCGCGATAGCCAGACTCGGACGCAGCGTCGCACCACTCACGCGGTACTCGTCGTTGATGAGCCACTTGGACGTTGCCTTCTTGCCCTCGCGGTGCGCGTACTGATTGAGCACGACCTCGATCGAGCCCTTGGTGATGCCGGGCCCGTCGAAGCTGCCCTTGAGGTGCTCCAGCAGGAACGGCTTGCTCTGCGCGCGAGGAGGCAGTGCATCAGCCGGCTGAGCACGACGAGAATCAAGCGGCCTACTCACGTGTGCACGGCCCTCGATGGCCTGGAGCAGCTCACGCAGCCGCGTCTCCGGGAAGACGGCCTTGGGCCCATCTCGCTTCGCCGGCGTGGCGGCGCTGGTGGACGCAGGGCTAGCAAAGGTGCTGCCCGATGCACCAGCTGACTCGGCAGCCGCGGCAGAGCGCTTGGATGGCGATCCGCTCTCGAGGAGCGTCTTGATGCTCGGCTGGTGCTTCATGCTTGCCGGCGTCTTGGCGACTGGCGCTGACGCCGACGACGAGCCGGCCTTGGCGTCGCCGGTCTCGCCGTCCGCCGGCGCTGCCTTGATCGTCGGCGAGACGTACGTGAAGGGGTCGAGGCCGGCACATGCGCCTACCGAGAGGCCGTCAGCCCGGCTCCGCTGAACAAGCTCAGCACAGAACTTACCGTTCAAGAACTCGATCTGATACGGCTTGAAGTTGTCATACGCCGGCACGCCGAGGCTCGTCTCCCAGTGCGGGCCCGTCGAGAAGGGCACCAGCTTGGCATCGAAGCGGCGGCCGAGCGGCTTGATCTTCTTCTTCTTCTTCACCGTGAGCACGTTGGGGCCCTTGCCGAAGGGCGACGCCAGCGCCGAGCCGGCAGCCGTGCCGAGGCCGCTGAGCTGCTTGAAGGGCGACACGGAGCGGCGCTTGACGGGCACGCCGGTCGCATCCGTCTCGACGATGTCTGAGCCAGCGTCGTCGGCGTCGATCTCCTCCAGGTCGTTCTCGAGGAAGTCGTCGAGATCGGAGTCCTGCTCCGAAGCGCTGTAAAGCTCCTCCTCGCGCTCATCGACGTCCTGGCAGTCCTCGCCCTCGCCCGGCTCCTCCCACTCGTTGTCCGAGTCGTAGCTGTAGTCCAGCGCCACCGAGTCCTGGCCGAAGGGGTTGCGCGGGCCGACGAGATTCGAGGTGCGCGTCCACGTGCCTGCGCCAGGGTGTGAGCGTGCGCGAGGCCGCGGCGCGCACAGCGTCACTCACCAAACCAGGCGGGCCGCCGATCGCTCTCAAACTGCAGCAGCTTGACCTGCACCTTCTTCGGATCCGCAAGGTCCTTCGAGGCCTTGTACGCCTCCTCCTCCGCAGTGCCGCCGAAGAGGCCTGCCTCGTTGATGATGCGCACCGACTCGCGCACGCTGACCGGCGGGTGGATGCCCTTGCGCGTGCCGCGGCGCACGTGGCGCGATGAAGATGGCGCGCTCGAGCTCTCGCCGCGGCTGGAGCCTGGCGCCAGCGAAGCGAGGATCTCTGACAAGCGCGAAGGCGAGTGAGCGCGAGCGACAAGACGATGAGCACAGACAGGACGCACCTGAGTGCGACGGCTCGCCGCAGCCGATGGCACGCATCAAGTCGCTAGGAGCGCGCCGCGCGAAGCGATTGATCGGCGCGACGTCCTTGAACTCGCACGGCAGGAAGACGCGATTGAAGTCAGACTGCCCTTTGAGCAGCGAGTCTGGGAACGCGAGAGTCAGTGGCTGAGCATCGGGCTGCAGATCGTCGGACGCACCTCTTTCTCCTTTGCTTGGCGACGTCGAGCGCTCGCGTTTGACAAAGGACTGCATGAACGAGGCAGCCTTTTGCTTGCTCTGTTGCGGCGCTTGTCAGACACTGCTGCGTGCGTGAGACGAGCGAACAGACTCACAGACTCCTCCTTCTGCAGCTTGGCCGCCTTCTCGGCCACGCGCTCTGCCCGTTCGGCCTTCTTGCGCTCCGCCTCGCGCTTCTTCTCTTCGCGCTCGAGCTTCTTCTCCATCTCTTCTGCGCTCATCTTCTTTGCCTTGCGCGGCTTCTTCTCCTTGACCACGTCCTCCTCCGGCTCGGGACTCTTGCGCGTCGGCGAGCGGCCGCGAGAGCTCGACGGCTCAGCAGTGAGGTCAATCGCGATCTTGCGCTTGGCGGCAGGAGCTGCAGTACCACTGCTTGAGGCCTCAGCCATGCTGCTCGAGGCGGCGTCATCACCGAGAGATGCGGAAGCAGTCGCCGCCGGCTTCTCGTCGACCTCCATCGGGCCAGACGAGCTCGAGGCGACGGCATTGGCGGTCTCGCCGGGCGGAGCTGCGCGTCCACGCTTCTTCGAGGCCAGCAGCGTGCTGCGCTCGCTCTCGCTCAGCGCGTCGAGCAGCGTCTGCACCTCCAGGCGCGCAGCCTCGCGCTCGGCGCGGCGCGCCAGCAGCTTCTCGCTCACTTCGCCTGCCAGCAGACTTGCGTCCTGCACCTCCCAGCGCCACAGCTGCAGGCCCTGCGAAGATTCGGGAATCAGGCCTCTCGTCGTTCCAGTGTCACCAGCAGCACTCACAGCCGGCAGTGCCTCGTCGGACAGACTCGCGTCGACGCCGTAGTTGACGCGCTCGGCCACAGCCTCGACTGCGGCTTGCAGCACGGAGATGGGCAGCATGTCGGCTAGCGGCTTGTATCAGCAGCAGCAAGAGCGTCACACCTCCAAGCGCTGCTCACAGGCGGACGGGGCGGCCTCCTCGCCGGCCTCCTGCGACTGCGAGTCTTCGTCGGTCGGCGGCACGACGTCATTCTTGATCGCCTTGGCAAGCTCAGCCAGGGTCTTGTCGCTGCAGTGGCGCGCGAGTGAGCATGACTGGGAGCGCACCTGCTGCAGAGCACTCACGACTCCTGCGTCAGCTGCGCGATGAGCGGTAGGTGCTCGGACGGCACGCTCTCGAGCGGCGCGGTACAGCCCTTGAGATGGCTGTTGAGCTGCACGATAGCTGTAGAGAGCACCGCGTGAGCATCTGGCTGAGCGGAGCAGCGTGATGCAGCTCACCCATCAGCGTGGACATGGGCTTCGAGGGGCCGAGCGCCTTCTGCTTGAGCGTGAGCTTGGTGCCCTTGAGCGTCACGAGGCTCTTAGTCTTGGGCGCTGGCGTGCTCGGACTCGACCCGGCCGCTGGTGACGAGGCGGCGCATCAGCATGCGCGAGCGCTGTTGGGCTGTGCTGCTGCGCAACTCACCCAGCTTGGCCTTCTTGGCCGGCGTGGCAGACGCTGGGCCCTCTGCCTCGGCGGCGCCGCGCGGCGCGCCCACCACAGCCTTGCGCTTGCCCTTCAGGGCCGCGGCATCAGGCGCCTGCTCGTCGCTGCGAGCAGCGTCGGCCTCAGGCGCTGCCTGCAGGTTGGTGTCGCGCTCGAGCATGGCAAAGTGCGGCGCGTGGACAGGCAGCGGGGAGGGCAGCGAGGCGACTGCCGTGCTCATGGCCAGGCGCGAGGCCGATGCGAAGGGCGCGCACGCGGCGGTGCAGCGCGGTGGGCAATGGCGTCCGGTCTCGGGTACGACGAGGCCTTCGTGTGCGATGGAGGCGAGAAGGAAGCGCTGCACCGAGTCGCGCAAGGGGAAGCTGAGATGGAGGCAGAGACGTCGTGGTGGTGGGTGGAGCAGCGCCCGACACGCAGCGAAGCTGATGCTCGACGCGTCCACGCCGACGCCGCGGCGCGGCGCGGGTGGCCTCGGCGGCGCTCGCGCCTCTCGGCAGCGCGCGACACAACGCAGAGCCCCAGCCTAGCCACGCAGGCTTCAGCGTGCACCGTCTCGCGGCAGGCGCCATGCTCTCTTTGCGGCCACACATAGCTGCCACATAGGCTCTGCACTTGGCTGTCGGAATCGTACCGCCCCCAGGTGCAGCGCCGGTGGGCAGCTGCTCATCGTAGGCCGCAGGCCAGGTGCTTCCCAGCGCCGCTCTCTACGCGTCCGCCGGCCCGCGACACGCGTCGCGAGGTGTTGCTTGCAGGCGAGTGCGACTCCGCCGCCCGAGCGGCGCGCGCGAAGCCTCAGCACCAGCGAGTGGCAGCGAGCGTTAGGTTGCGCTGCTGCTCCCTCCACCACCGCCCGTGCCCTGCCCCACCCGCCGCCCATGTTCCTTCCGCAGCGCCCCAAGGCGGGCGCCAACAAGTCGGCCGCACAGGACGCGCAGCAGCAGGCCCGCCTGCGCCCCTGGGTGGAGAAGTAGTGCGTGCTCGTCCCTTGCGGGCACTCGCATCCCCTATGCACCGCGGCTGACAGCGCGCCTCGCACGCCCCGCCGCAGCCGGCCAAAGACGATCGACGATGTGGCGGCGCAGGAGCACACCGTCGCCGTGCTGCGCAAGACACTCATGTCCGCCAACGTACGTGCCCATCACGTTCACCCATGCCGTCTGTGCGCTGAGTTGCGCCTCCACCCGTCGCACAGCTGCCCCACATGCTCTTCTACGGCCCGCCGGGCACGGGCAAGACGAGCACCATCCTCGCCCTCGCGCGCCAGCTCTTTGGGTACGTCTGCTTTGCTGCCAGACCCGATGCTGCTCCCGTGCTCACTCGCCGGTCCGCAGGCCGGAGCTGCTCAAGTCGCGCGTGCTCGAGCTCAACGCCTCCGACGAGCGCGGCATCTCCGTCGTGCGCGAGAAGATCAAGAACTTTGCCAAGATGGCCGTCAGCAACGCCAACATGTGAGTGTGGCGGCGGGTCTTACCCCCGGGCTATATGCAGCGGAGCTGATGCGTCCGCGCTGGCCAGCGACTTTCCGTGCCCGCCGTACAAGATCATCATCCTGGACGAGGCCGACTCGATGACGCAGGATGCGCAGTCAGCGCTGCGCCGCATCATGGAGCAGTACTCGAAGATTACGCGCTTCTGTCTGGTCTGCAACTACGTGACGCGGTGAGTCGCTGTGCAGGGAAACAAAGGACGCGCAGCGTGCCCGGTGGGGCCATGCTCGCAGCTGGGCAAGCCGGAGGGCGGTGACTCTGCGTCCGGGCAGCTGACGCCACGCCGCTGCAGCATCATCGAGCCGCTTGCCTCGCGATGCAGCAAGTTCCGCTTCCGCTCGCTCGACCAGGGCAGCACAAAGGAGCGCCTCGAGGCGATCGCGCAGGCCGAAGATGTGGCCTTTGACGACGGCGTGAGTGCCCTTCGGTCCGGCAGCGCCGTCTCTGCTGACGCAGCCCCGACAGGTGCTGGACACGCTGATCCACACGTCCGACGGCGACCTGCGTCGCGCCATCACGTATCTGCAGTCTGCGTCGCGCCTTCACAACTCCGGCACGTCCTCCAAGACGCCCGTCACGCGCACGTCGATCGTCGAGATTGCAGGTGTGGTGCCGCAGCCTGTGGTGCACGCGCTGGCGCGCTCGCTCGGCTTGGACCCACCGCCGGACGCTGATGGCAACGACGAGGACATCGAGATGCTCGCGCCGGGCCCGGAGAAGACGCCCTTTGAGAAGGTGCAGAAGCAGTGCCGCAACATCGCCATGGAGGGCTACTCCTCGTCGCAGCTGCTCATTCAGGTGCGCAAGCCGGCGGAAGCAAAGCTCACTGCGAGTCCCGCTGACGCTCTGCCCCAGCTGCACGACTTTGTCATGCTCCACCCGCTCCTGGGCGCCAAGGCCAAGGCACGCTGTGCGCTTGCCTTCGGCGAAGCCGACAAGGCGCTTGTGGACGTGAGTGTGTGGCATGTCTGCGTGCGCCGCAGTGCGCACGTATGCTGACGCCTGCCGCTCGCCCAGGGCGGCGACGAGGAGCTGCAGTTCCTGAACCTCTGCCTGAAGCTGCGCACTGCGCTTGCTTGACACTCCTCGCCCGCTGGCCCGCTGCGTTTCGCTCCCTGTCACTGTCTGTTCGCTCATGTACTTCTAGCCAACCAATCAGCACGCTCGTCTTCACTCAATGCGCCAGAACAGATGCCGCAACGATGCATTGCCTCGCCGCTGCCGCATCACTTGCCAAGCGACACGACGATCTCGTCGTTGTCCAGCAGGTTCCAGTGCGCCAGCGTCTGCTTGAGCGTCGCTGCCTTGCCGCCGATCTTGAGCTTAAGCTTGGAAGCGCCGACGGCGCCATCGAGCATGGCGTGGACGCGGTCGCGCACCGAGGCAATCGTCGCCGTCATGGGCGTCTCCGCGAACACCTCGGTGCGGCCGTCGCACAGCGGGCTCGTGGCGGGCGCGTCGGGGAAGGTGACCTTGAGCGCGATGGGATACGGGTTGTAGCGCAGCCACATGTTCTCGTCGTACAGCGCGCCCGACGACTGCTTCGGCAGCGAGTTGACGTTGACCTGAGCGGCGCCTGGCCGCGAGGGACCTGTCGGTGCATCGGGCGGCGGCTGCAGCGCGCCCATCGCTGCGGGCGCAGTCGGCAGACCGGCGTGCCGCTGTGCGTCCGGCTGTCCGGCAGGGTAGCCCTCGGCGGGCCGCTTGAGCGCGGCAGAGGGGTCAATGCCCGAGGCGAGGCGCGAGGGATGGATGCTCGGCGCGGAGCCTGACGGGCCAGACGGCGGCGCCATCGTCGACGGGCCGGCCGCAGCCATGCCAGGCACCTGCGGGCCGATATTGGCCTCGGGCGCGCCGACGTTGAACTTGCGCTGGATCTGCGCCATCGTCTCCTCCACCTGGCTCGTCTTGTTGAACGTGTCGCGCGTGGCCGTGCGGCTATTGGCGTGGCCATCCCAGATGATCTTCTCGCGCTCGCGCCGCTGCTGCGCCTCTTGCTCCTCGCGCCGTTTCCGCGCGTCCTCCTCGGCCTCGGCGCCGAAAATGTCCGTGCGCGCGCCGGCGAACTGCCGCAGGAAGCGCGAGGGATCTGCGCCTTCTTGCAGCGCATTGTGCTGCGCCCGCTTCGTCTCGAGCTCCTGGCGCTGCTCGCGGAACTTGGGGTTGAGCAGCTCGATGCGCACGTGCTCGTCCATCTCGGACAGCGGTATCTGCTCGCCGCACACGGGACACTTGGTCGTCTGCGCGTCGGCAGCGGCCTTGCGGTCGGCGAGCGTCTTGGGCACGTAGCCCTTGCGCACGCGCATCGGCGCCTGCCCGTCCGCGCGCTTGATCTCCTCCACCTGCGGCACAGGCGCCGGCTCCTCGTCGCTGTCGTCGTCCATGTCCATCTCCACGTCGTCCTCATCCTGCGCCTGCGCCACGGCGCCCGATCCTGGCCGTGCCGGCAATGATGCACCGGCGGCGTAGGCGGCGCGCTCTGGGTTCATCTGGCTGGGCTTGGCGCGCACCGGCTCGGAGGCACCAGCGCTGGCGCCCTCGCCGCCCGGCACGTCCATCAGGCCGAGCAGCTTCGACTCGTCGGCATCGCCGCCCTCGACCTCCATGATCATGGCGGCCATGCGCTTCTGCGCCATCGACATGTTCTCGATGTCCCGCAACGACATCGGCGGCGGCAGGTCGATGTGCGCGTCCGTCTCGGTCAGCTCGACGGTGCCCACGACGACAAAGTCGTTCCAGTCGATCTCCATGAAGGCAGCTAGGGCCGGCAGTGTCAGTACGCGGCGCGCGTCGAGCGGGCCGGCTCCGGACGAATGTCGAGCATGCCCGCGCCGTTGCCTGCCACAGAGACTCACCGCGCTCGCTCTCCTCCTCGGTCTCCTTCAGCTTTCTCCGCTCGCGCACCCACTTCTCGAACTTGGCGCGCTTGCGTGCCTCCTCCAACAGCTTCACGCGGCCGCCGCCACGGCCTGCACCCAGCGGCGGCGCCACGCCTGCCGGTGTGACATCGTTGATGCGCTCGAGCGCGTCGGCCGGCGGGTCGAGCACCAGGCGGTATTGCTCGACGATGCGGTTAAAGTAGCCGAACAGCGAGTGTGACGGACGCAGGAACTCAAACTGGAACGAGCGTCCCTCACGCGCCAGCACGGCAGATGCAAAGGAGCGACCCTTGCGGGCCGTGTACAGTGCGGTGAGCTTAAGCACGTCACTGCAGAGGCGGCGTCAGCGCTGCGGTCTCACTCCGACTCGGACAGCCCTGGCAGCCAGGCGAGATCGCAGTCGGCTGGGATGCGCGCACTCACAGGTCGACAGCGGTGATGTTCGGCAGGTCAAGCTCAAAGTCGTGCGTCCGCGGCTCTTCCGGCCGGCTGCGCTCCTCTCTCCGCCGGCGATCCTCCTCCTCCTGCTCCAGCGCCGCCTTCTCGTCTGCGCCGTCGAGGCGCGTAAGCTGGCCGCCGCCGATGCCGCCGGCAGCGTCTGCGGCCTCCTTGAGCGGGCCGTCGCCGCTCTGCACGAGCTGGATCTTGGCGCGGTAGTAGGCGTTGTACGGATCGCCGTCGGCCATGAAGGCAAACTTGGTGTTGGCGCGCTCGTCGCCGCGGATCTTGGCCTCAAACTGGGCGCCGTTGCGCGCGACGAACGTGGCCGTCTTGTCGACGATGGCGCGGATGTCGGGCGGCGGGTAGATGAGGCCGCCCGAGGCGAACTTGGGCGGCGCCGGCGCGACGGCCGTCAGCAGCGGCTCGTCGGCGCCGCCTGCGCCGGCAGGCGCCGAGGCGGCGACGCTGGCGGGCTCCTCGACATCCTCGACGAAGGCTGCCTTGTTGACCGGCGGCGGCAGTTTGAGGTCGGCAGAGGGCGCCATGGTGTGGGCGCGAGGGCGTGAGGGTCAGGAAGGCAGCGGCGGCAGCAGCACGACGTCGAGCGCTCTCACGACGGGCAGCGCGACGTGCGTCACGTGCGCCGCCCAATCCCGCGGCCCTTTGTGCCTCACTTCAAGCGCTGAGACTCATTGTATTGGCGCTTCAGCTGCGCTTTGTATTCGCCGTGCGCCTGCCGTGGGGTCCCCGCATCGAGGCGCGGCCGGCCACCTCTGCCGGGCACGCCTGACAGGCGATGGCATGACCCGGCCGCCGACCTTCGCGACCATCACACCGCCTGCGACAGTGCACATTCCGCTCGCCTCATCGCTGCGCCGCCGCCATCGCACGGCTGAGCGCTGATACGCCTGCCAGCCTGTCGCTGTGCGTATCGCCCCACCTCGCACCACCGCATCCGCCCCCGGCCCGGCTTGCGCTTCCCGTGCGAAGATCGCGCCGCCGAGCCTACAGCTTCGCGCAGCTGGCTCGTCAGTGACGCAGTCATGGTCTACCAGAACGGCGATGCGGCCATGTCCTCCGACAGCTCGGCCGCGTTTGGCTTCTTTGCAGCGCAGCCGTCGCTCGAGCCCACGACGATGCACTCCTCAGCAGAGCGCACGGCGCCGTACAGCGCCGGCGGCATGGGCCCGGGACACGGCAGCGCCGCCTCGCCGCCCGTGTCGACCTTCTCGCCGCGCTACGAGGCCGGGCCCTCGTCGCTGCGCACCAGCGCTCCCGGCGGCCCGGCGTCTGCGGTGATGCGCAGCTACCGCTCGCCTGCTCCGCTGCACTCGCCCAGTTCGGCGCTGCTGGCCGCCGCGCAGGCGCAGCAGCATGCCGCGGCTGCCGCATCGCAGCACCTGGGCGGCTCGTCGCTGAGTCTGCCGCACCCCTCGCCGTATCCCTTGACGAGTCCAGACTATAATGCCTTCGAGGAAGGCGGCGCCAGCTCGCGTGGCGGCGAGGCTCGCCGCGACAGCCACATGTCGAGCCCGGACTCCAGCCGCAGCGGCGCAAGTGGCCTGCCTGTGCCCCCGCGCGGCGCGGCATCATCGTCACGCCTCAAGGAGTCCAAGTCGGCTGCACCGGCGCCTCAGGGCGGAGCAAAGAAGAAGAAGAAGGCTCGCGTGCAAGAGGAGGACGAGCAGAGCGATGAAGAGGCGGACGCCGATGGAGAGGAGCGCAAGCCTGGCTGGAAGAGACGGTGAGTCGCGGTTGCTCGCAGCACTCAGCTCCGCCGTCCCGCTGAACACAGTCCGACCTGTGCAGACGTGTCGTCGTTGCCTGCGATCGATGCCGGCATAAGAAGATCCGCTGCAAGGGCCTGCCCAATGCGCGCAACATCTGCAACAACTGCGATGGCATGGGCTACGGTGCGTGTGGTGCTGCGGTCCGGCACTGAGGCGTTGTCCTGACACGCCAGTTCGCAGCTTGCACGTTCGACGTGTCGCCGACGCGCTCGCGCGGCAAGTACGAGATCCTCGAGTCGCGCGCTGCCACACTGCTGTCGGCACTGCGCTCGGTCGCGCCTGAGCTCGCGGCTCAGTTCGACAACGGCAAGCTCGGTGGTCCGCCCGGCATGCTCGTCGCCAACGAAGCGGCAAAGGCCAGCAGCTCTGCGGCCGAGGCCGAAGCCGCGCCGCCTAAGTCGCCAGAGCCGGAGTCGACTCTGCGCTCCGACGAGGGCGAAGTCAAGGAGGAGCTCCATAAGTCGTTGATGCTGCCGGACGTGGAGGAAGGCAGGCCGAGATTCTTTGGCGGCAGCAGCAGCAACGCCTTCTTCCACGGTCTCGCCAGCAGGCCGCCCAGCCCTGGCGCGATGAGCCGGCGGCGAGGCACCGAGCACGGCGCCGCAGCGACGCCGCGCGGCTCGGTCTCTGGGCCAGCTGATGGACGCACCGCGGATCGGGCCGGCGGCAGCTCTAGCGCAGCCGGCGCTGCGCAGGAGCACGCACAGCCGGCGTCTCACCGCGCGGTGAAGCGCTGGGCCGTGCTGCCGCGGCCTCAGACCTCCTACCCCACCAACAGCCGGCAGTGGGTGCAGAATCTGCGGCGCAAGAACCTGTGCGGCGTCGGCCGCGACGACGAAGACTACGGCAGCGAGGCGTGGCTACGGCGCTACCTGCTACCGGAGCGCGATTTGTTGAACTTGTTGTTCAACGTGTACTTCTCGCAGCTGCACCCTCTCATGCCCCTGCTGCACCGCCCGTCGATGGAGCGCGACATCGAGCTCGGCCGCGCGGAGGACGACATCGCTTTCCGTGGCCTCGTCTTCACGGTCCTCGCCATTGCTTCGCGCTTCACCGACGACCGTCGTGTGCTGGCCAACCCAGACGACCCGAACAGCGCCGGCGATCGCTTCGCGGCCGCCAGCAGACTGTACCACCAGGTCCACTCGGCCAGCCTTATCAACGTGCAGGTGCTGCTGCTCACCTGCACGTTCTCGAGCGCATCGCTCGGTCCAGGCGTCGGCTGGACAGTGCTGGGCGTGGCGATTCGCGCGCTGCTCGACATTGGCGCGCACCAGGAGCGCGCCTACGCAGGCCTGCCGCTGCTGGAGCAAGAGCTCCGGCGGCGAGCATTCTGGGCCACGCACAGCTTAGACTGCATCATGGCCATAAATTTGGGCCGCCCGCTCGGTCTACGTCTCGGCGAGTGCCGCGTGAACATGCCTCGCGCCATCTCCGACGAGGCGCTGCTGCACGCCGAGGCCGGCCAGCAGGCCGTCATCGACGAGGACGCCTCATCTATGCCTGTGTGCGGCTTCATCCATCTCGTCAAGCTCAACATCATCGTCTCAGACGTCGTGACGACGCTCTACGCCTCGGGACGCGAGCCCAAGTACGCCGACATGTGTGCGCTAAGCAGCCGCCTGGACGAGTGGGAGAAGAACATCCCAGTGACGCCACACGTGCTGCCCAACGCCCTCCTGCGCTGCGGCATCGAGGATGTGCGCATGTACACCATCAAGCCGTTCCTCTACAAGCGCGACGAGAGCGACTATCTTCGCAAGGTGAGGCGCGCGTCGCCAGCTGAAGCATGCGCAGTGCTGATAGGATCTCGCGCAGATGCTCATGCCGCAGTGCGCCGTTGCCGCGCGCAAGTGTCTTAGCAAGGTCATCGAGTTGCACGAGACGACTAAGGACTCTTCATCCTCCATCGCGATCTTCGATCAGGCGTGGGTGTCGAGCACGACGTTCCTCATCACCATCTGGCACGAGCTGCCGCCGGAGCGCCTGGCCGAGGATGCGCATCTCGTCGAGGGCACGCTGCACATCTTTGCAAGGCATGATCCTCGCTTCTGGTGGGTTGCGCTCCCACTCGTCTCCTCTCTACTGCGACTCATCATATGCGCGCTGCAGCTCTGCGCTCTTGCGCCGCGCACACCGCATCCTCTGCACGCTGACCAAGCGTGCTCTGCCGCACTTCCCCGACGAGCTTCGCGATCGCGCGGCGTCTCTGATTGCTAGTCACGAGCGCCGGGCAGCAGCGGCTGCTGCCTCCATGCCGCGCGCAGCGCAGACGAAGAACGGAGCAGGCGGTGCCTCGATGCCCGAGAATGCGCGCCATCTGCCGGCGCCCAGCTCCGCGTCCTCGCGCGCCCTCGGTGCGCCGCACGCCGGCGCGGCATCGCCTGGAGCCAGCTCGTGGCAGCCCAGTGGCCCGCGCCAGCGACCGGTGAGCCCTGTTGCCATCTCCATGGCAGCATGGAGCCACTGGAACGCTTCGCGGCCGCTCGAACAAGCGCAGCCTGGCGCGCCGCGCTCTTCTGCGCACGCGCTGGCCGAGAGCAGTGCCGCCTCGCCGGCAGCCAAAGGCACCCTGACGCCGCTCCTCGCCGCCCTCGAAGACTCGTCCACCGCAGGCTCGTGGTCGCCGTGGGGCTCGTACGACCCGAGCGTGCCGCCGCTCAGCAGCGGCTTCGAGCTCGACGGCTCACTGCTGCCCAACGACAGCGAGGACCTGGCGTGGGCCGACTACTTCACGCGCTTCCTCTCCGAGAGCACGGCGCTGCCGACCATGACGCCCGAGGTCGAGTCGAGCCGCCACTGAGGAGCATGCTGCACACGCGGCCGGCCGCCGCATACCCACCGTCTCGACATGCTCGCCGCGTTCTAGCTTGTGTATACCAGTCACTGTCCGTCTGCGGCTCATCGCAATACCAGTTGCTGTGAGCACCGAGAAGTGCGGCGACGGTTTGCTCCCCTTCCTGAACACATGCTACAGCCCATCGCCAGCGGCAGCAGCAGTCGCGCAGCACCTGTGCACCCAAAGAGCTCGTTGCGTCGCGATGGGTGGAGTTGGACAGACGGTGGGGCTTCTACCATGTCATTATTTCGTGTGGTGCGGGTTTCTAAGCGCCATAATGGATGGCCCAGGCGGCCTCGTTCTCAAGCTGGATGCGATAGCTCGCCTCGGCTCCAAGCCGCACCTTGCGCGCGAAACGGAGCTTTCTCACTTCTTCGCCACGACAGCGCATTCAGGGCGAGACCGCAAAACCCGCAGCGGAGCAGCGTCGTCATCGTTGCTGCCGACCTCGGCCTCGACCTTGTCAAGGATGGCATGGCGCACCGCCTCGAAGGCCGCAAGCTCCGCCTCGGTGACGAGGCAATAGAGGATGTGAATGTCGAGGCCTGCTTCGCGCGGCGGAGACTCGACTATGGAGTCAGTGTCGAGTTCTGGCGTGTCGGTCCAGTACGGCGTCGTCGTCCATTCGTCGTCGTACTCCTCTTCGACGTCGCTCTCGTCTTCAGCGTCGCCGACGTCGAGCTTGTCGGGGACGAGGGACGGCACGTCGCTCTTGCTCTTCTCGTGCGCGTCGCGGTCGGCGACATCCCTGTGCAGCTTCTCCACGGCTGAGCGGTCCTTGGTCAGCTCGCTCGAGGTTGAGGGCCGGTCTGAGCCAGTCGCCTGTGGTGTCCAACGCTCCAGGTCTTGGTAGACGCGGCGCAGCAGACACGAGCCGACCGGCGACGGTTGCAGCGGGCGCAGCGACGCCGGGCGGTCATCAAACTTGCGCCAAGACGAGGGTGAGTCGGTCTCGACGAGGCGCAAAAAGTAGTCGGCTTCGTTGTGCCATTCTTGCAGCTCCGGACTGAGCTTCGAGTAAGCGTCGTCCGCGGCGATTGCCATGATGAAGGCAGCTGCGGCTTTGATCGGCGAGAGCGGCAGCTGTGCGTGTCATGATCAGCAAATGCCGGAAGACGAGACTGGGCGTACTCACCTGCACGATTGGAAGCGGCGGATCGTACTCGAGCGGCCATCGATCTGATCTGGCTGCGATGAGCTTGTGCACGACGTCCAAGTCCTCCTCCGCACCCGTCACGTTGGTGCGCATCCTTGCGAACGAGTCGTAGAAGCCGCGGTCGACGTCCTCTCCGGCCCTCTTCGTTCGAGGCAGGACTACGATGCGGTAGCGGTAGAATCTCAATGTCGGCTCGTCTGAGGCATCGTTGAGAGCCATCGCTTGGCGCGCGGACCAGTGCCAAGAAGAGGGTTCTTCGTCACACGCTTCTGCATGGATGGCTGTGAGACTCTCCTCGAGTGTCTCGACGTAGACGGGCATGTCTAGCGGCACGAAGAACAGATTTTGGACCGTGTGCATGTATACGATCCACTTGCACGAAGTCACGACCATGTTGTCAAGCGAGACGGTCTTGTTTGCCTCTTTGACCGTGTCGATGCCGGGAAGCTCTCCGACGGCACGCAAGTACATGCACTGAGAGAGCGCGTCAGCCATTTGTGCTGCTTGGCCTGACGCGGCAACTGACCAGTTGCATGGCGGTCTCCTCGTCCCGAGGCACGACATGCGTGTTTTCTGCGCACCGGGAGGAGGTGAACAAGTCGAGATCTCGCAGCCGAGGCTCAGGGATCGTCCCGTCGTCTCTTGTCCAGCCATCGAGGTTGCGTCCGTTCGTGTGGTGCACACTCAGCAGCTGCGCAGCGGTCGGCAGCTGCACCTCGCCCGACGGCGCATCGCCTCTGGTCTCTTCGTTCCCCGGCTCGCCTGCCAAGCGCAGCGCGCGAAGCTCAGCGGCGCTCTTGAGCTTCCGTGGCCAGGCGCTCATCGTGCGGTGTGCGTGTGTGTGGAGAGGAAGCAAATGGGGAGTGGCTCGGTGAGGGGCCGACAGCGCGCAGGTGCTCTCGCGGGTGCGGCCGTTGGTGCCGACACGTGACACATGGCCGCCTCGCTCAGCGCAGAAGCCGCTCTACGTCGAAGCTGGCGGCCCCACCCGGTAGGCTCGACTCCTGCTGCAGCCTCAGGACATTGAACGTCTGCCGGTCAGCGCGCTGAGAGCTGACCGCTGCCGGCGAGGGAGAGCAAGTCGCGTGCGGTACGTTGGGCGTCGCAGCTTGCGCTGGCCGCACGCATGCGGGGTGCGTCCAAGGATGCAAGCCGCGTAGCCGCACGAGAGCCGGATGCTCGGAGCACGTCGGTGTGTCGGACCATCAGATTCTGCAGCTGACCCTGCGCAGCGAGAAGGAGCATTCAGCTCACCGCCAGGCGGGGCGAGGAGGCATGCGATGGGAGCGCCCGATCATCCACGCCGGGTCCGTGGCGCTCTTGCGCGGTGACAGACGCCATTTCCGCCGATTGGGCTGCGAGCACGGAGCTTGGACGCCGCAGCTTGCCGAGGAGGGTGGGCTCAGCGCAGCAGCAGCATGCCATCAGCCATCGCTGGTGCTGGTGCTGTATCACCATGGTCGCCGGCGCGAGCAGGAGAGCTCACCCGCCGTGGGGTCGGAGGCGTATGCCGCGGCATTACTCCACCGTGCGCAGCAGGCACAGCACAGCCTCGCAGGCATGCACGCTCGCCTTTCGCCGCAAGGCCTCGGCGCGGCTTCCAGCGCTAGCGCCAGAGGGCTTCCACGCCCACGCCTCTTGATTTGCGTTTGCCCGCCGACGGGTCCAGGCCCTGCCAGCTTAGCGCGCCGTGCACGTCACAGGTGCAGCGCTGCCGCCAGCCCCGCTGCACGCTGCGGTTGCTGAGCGGAGCCGCTCAAGGGCGCAAGGATGGCAATTCAAAATCGGTTCGAGAGCCGCACCTCGTCCGAGCGGGAGGTGGCTCGTGCGGCGAGCGTCGCGGTCGCTGCCTCGCGCCGCCCGGCAGACCGAGCGCATCACGCTGTCAAGAGCGTGCACGCCCGTGCTCCTCGAGCAGCTCGATGAATAGCGACGAAGCCGGCTCACGCTCGTGTGCTGATGCTCGAGGGCCATGCGCGACCGGAGCGACGCCAGCCATCCGCACGGAGGGCAGCTCTGCAGGGCTGGGCGGCGCCGACCCCACACGTTCGCTGACGGCCTCTCATCCTCGCCTCTCGAGGTGGCTGACGCCAAGGTGGCAGCTGCAGCTCAGCGCACAGGTGTCGGCGCCCGATCTCACACTCCTCGCTCGTTGGACGCATGTCTCGAGGCTGTATTCTGGCGGCGGGCGGCGGAGGCTGCGGCTGGCCCAGGCGTGACAAGTCATGCCGCACACTGACGCTGCCTGCAACACCTGATCGTGCAGCGGATGCTGCTGCGTCCGAGCCGGCGCTCGGAGGTGCTGCACGCCGAGATGCGATGCTGCACCTCATCTTGCTGGCCGCTGCACAAGCGCAGCGGGACGGCGTCTGCACCTGGATCTGGATGATCTCCAGCCGGCAGCGCGGGGCACGTGTGGGACACACGCTGTCCAGGCACCCGACGCCGGTGCCGAGCATCGCGAGAGCAGAGCTGCAGCTGCGGCGTGCGACACTCTTGGACCGACCCACGCTGCACGGAAGCTGAGCGGAAGTCCACCGCGGCCGCAGCGAGCAGCTGTGCAGGCCGGCCGTGACCCGAGCTTTGCGAGCGTGCAGGCCGACGGCGCGGCGTCGGCGCGCGCGCGGCGGAAGCGCCGGCCATCAGGAGGCAAAGTGCTCGACTCAGCCGGAGGCGTCCAATTTGACGGCGGCTGCGGAGATGAGACCGCGCCTGCTCTTGGCTGCGTGCTGATGCTGCGGCGTCTGCTCCGCGATGGTGCGGCTGCGGCGGCGGCGGAGGCGAGCGGAGAGAAACGGCGTGCTGGTGGGCGGCTCAGCTTGCGGCAGTAAGAGTCGAGTTGCGCCGAATGCGCAGCACTTCGCGTTGCGCAGCAGCCGTCGGCATTCGAGGCGTGCATGGCTCGCCGCGTCGTGCGCGTGCCCGCATCGCGGCGCTGCTGCGCGCGTCTCGCACGGGTCTGCGCCGTGCCGTGCTGCCGCGCCTGCGCTGTGCAGAGACATCGAGGCAAAGCACGCCGCACGCCGCACGCCGGCAGCAGACCGATAGCGTGCCTTTGCGGCAACCCCCAGAGCGCGAGGCGCGCGCGGGCAGCACGCCGCGGCGAGCCAGCGAGGGCCCAGGGCCCAGGGGGGCGAAGGCAGCGCATCCCTGCCGGCCGGCGCCGGCGCCAGCGCCTGCAGCGCCGCGGCCAAGCGCGACGCAGCACAGCGCGCAGCAGAGCACGCCGCACGCAGCACACGCATACGCACCCGCCCTTGTGCGTGTCCAGGGGCCATGCGGGAGCGGCGCCCTTTGCGCGGCGTGGAGTCCGAGCGCGCGGCGCGGCGGCGGGCGTGGCAGCAAGGTGCGGCGGGGCCCTGGGCCTTGATGCCGTGGTGCTGCTGCGCTGCCTGCCTGCTGCCTCTGCCGCGCCGCGCGCGCCTGTGCCTCTGCGGCTGCCTCTGGGGGCATGCACCCTCGCTCATGCTTGCCGCGAGCTGCTGTGCTGGGCGCTGCTGAGCTGCAATTGGCGGCTGCTGGCGACTCAGCAAGCCTGCAGTTTGCCGAGCCCTCGCCGCACGCCGTGGCCCCCTGGGTGCTGGTGCCGCACGCGCAGCCTGCCTGAGCTGCCCCCAGGAGCCGAGCAGGCGCAGCTGCAACCTGAGCGGCGGGCTGTCAGGTCGCGCGGCCCAGGGGCGCTGGAGCTGTCGCGCGTGAAGGTCGCAGCACGCAGCACGGAGCACGCAGCGCAGCGCCCAGGTGCCGCGTCGCAGCCGCAGCCGCATCCACGGCCAGCTCGCCGCTCGCCGCATCCTCCGCTGGCGGCCGGCGTCGCTGCTCTCCTCCGCTCTCCATCCTCCCTTCTCCGCCCGTTCCTTGGCCTGCACCCGCGCGATCATACACACGTCGATCTGCCCGCGCGCCTGCGCCCTTCTCTTTGCCCTCGCCGCCGCCGTCTGCCTTCGCTCCGCCTTGCCTTCTTCGTCCTGCCCCGCTGCCCGCCCGCCCTTCACCCCTTCGCCTCGATCCGCTTCGCTCCCGTCGTCCATCCTGCTCCTCGCCGCCCTGCCCGCACAGCTGCACAAACGATCCCGCTGTGCCTGCAAGCCTCCTACTCGCCGTCGTGTCTGCTCTGGAAGCAGCTCAAGACACCGACAGCTCCGCTCGCTCGCAAGTCGCACCAGCGCGTTTCTGTGCGCTGTGCCTCTCTGCGTCTCACTCCATTCGCAGCTTCGTGCGCACATCGCACCAATCTCGTCTCGCCCTCGGCGCCACCTCGCCTTCGTCGCCTGACTGCACCCTCACCGGTGTGCCTAGCCGCGCGCCGCGCGCACCGCTCCGACGTCGCTGCTCGCCTTCTTCGCTGCTCAGCAGCCGCCCTCGCCGCAAGCCGAGTCCCTGGCTGGCGGATCCTCCGTCTCGACGCCGCGGATGGCGCTGCGTCACCAGCTCGGCGCGCTGGGCGACGCCGCGGCCGAGTTCGCGTCGTCACTGATGCCCATGTCGGCCGCCGACTCGGCCGCGCTGACAGTGGCATCCGAGCCGGCTCACCATGCGGCCACAGGGAGCTCCGCCGAGGGCAACGCCCATGCTCAGGCGTACGCTCCGGCGCACTTCCAGCACCGCCGTCACCTTTCGCAGCAAGAGCACACTGCGATCATGCACCAGCAGCAGCAGCACTCGACGCACATGGACTCGCTGCAGCTCGAGCAGCAGCACATGATGCAGAACCGCGCCTCGGGTCTGACAGCGCTCGATGCCTTCACCTCTGTCGCTCCAGAGCTGCCTCAGGCCAGTGCTCGCCCGCCAACCGTCCGCAAGCGCTCTGCATCCGCGTCCGTGGCCCTGTCGTCGAACCCCAAAAGCGATGCGCAGAAGGACCGAGTGTCCATGGCGTGTATGCACTGCCGCAGCCGGTGAGCATCTCGACGATGCCCTGGCCCACATCCTGCTGATGCTCTCACCTGTTACTAGCAAAGTGCGTTGCGACGGCGAGCAGCCAGCCTGCGGCCTGTGCACGCGTCTCGGCCGGCCGTGCAACTACGACCGCGTCAGCGAGGCAGAGAACCTGCTCTTGCGCGCTCGCAAGCGCGCCTTGAAGGTCAAGCGCGCCGGCGAGAAGAAGGCTGCTGCCAGCGGAGCGCAAGACATGGCCGACGACGCCGACGAGACGATGACAGATGCGCCTGGCGGCAGCCAGGATGCAGCGCAGCAGCCGAGCAGCGCGCGTCGGCGCAGCCGCGTCTCCACCGCCGGGCCGCACTCTTCCTCGGCCACCGACACGCTGTCTGGCTCGCGCTCGCGCTCGACGAGCGTGTCCGAGTCGATCTCGCCGGCCATGACGTCTGTGGACAACTTCGCGGCGGGCGTCATGATGCCCTGGCAGTCCTCGTCGATGCAGCTCACGTCTGCGCCAGGCTCGCCAACAGCGATGGACATGTCGATGCCCGCGCTGCCGACGTGGCTGTCGAAGCCCGCGTTCGGCGACGTGGCGCCGCACGGCACCGTTGCGCCCCATGCCACGATGTCTGCGCAGAACGCGAACACCACTGCTTGGGCCGGGCAGCAGCAGCAGCAGATGCAGCAGTACTCGTACGGCACGCAGGGCGCTTTCGGCGGCGGCGGCACAGCAAGCAGGCCTCCGCCCGTGCCGTATGCCGTTGGTGGCTCGTCGCTGAACGCGGCTCGGGGATCGGCGGACATGATGACGGGCTCGTGGCGCTCCGCCGGCTCCTGGGGCAGCTGTCCGTACGGCAGCAGCGACGGCAGTGACTCGGCGCCCTCTTCGCTCGTTCAGCGTCGTGCTGCGACCCGCGCTGCTGGTGGCCAGTCGGCCGGGCAAGAGGTGCAGCTGCACATGTCGAGCCAGCCGCATGCGCAGCCATCGAACCTAGCCAGCACATCACACGGCCTCGGCCTCGGCGACGCGAGCATGCAGTACACGCAGGGCGGCAGCGCCAGCACCGGCAGCAACACGTCTGCAGAGCGCCACAACCCGTACGATCTCCGCCTGCCCGCTGCTGTCGTACTGAACGCAGCCGAGCAGTGGCGCCAGAGCATGGGCTACCCGAAGACGGAGAATCCCGCCTCGTCCGACGTGGCGGCCGGTCCGCACGGAGACAGCAATGCCGAGCACAACCTGAGCAACGAGGCGCTGCGCTCGCAGCGCTTCGGCAACTTCACACTTCAACAGCCTGCGAACATGCAGCCACAGACGTCGCAGCAAGATCAAGGCGCCGGCGACCACGTGCTCGACATGCCCAAGCTGACGCATCAGGGTGCCGGCGGCTGGGCTGCGGCGCTCGCCAGCACCGGCAACTCTTCGCTTCTGGCCGACCCGCTGGCTGCTGCCCGTGCGGCCACGGCTGGCAGCATCCAGTGGACGCCGGACGAGTCGGGCCCGCAGGGCTTCCCGCGCCATCTGTTCGACCAGCACAGCCAGGGCCAATAGCGACCGACCACGCTCGCCGCAGCTGTCACCCTTCCATTCGTCGCGCCCGCACAGCGCACTCTGCGTCTCCCCTTCCTCCTTCCAGCCCAGCCCAGTCCAGCGTCACCGAGCGGCATACCGTTTCACCTTCGCCCACGCCTCCAGCCTCTCGATCTCTTCCGTCACGCGTCTGGGCCGGGCCTCTGCCCTCTATCTTATCTGCACCGCCTCTGGGCACACGTGTCGTCATCGTCGTCATCTCGTGGCCGTGCCGGACGCTCTCGTCTGTGCACTCTCGCGGCCGGGCTGAGCGCCCTTGCGCGCCCAGCCTCTCCTTCTCGCACGTCGATCGTTCGCGCGCGATAAACGTCACCGCTTTCCCGGGCGATCACCCCTCCCACCTCTCCTTCACCAGCATTCTTTCCTCCTCCCGCTGCACGACACTCTGCCACGCAACGGGCCCAAGCGTCCGTTCCCTTGGCCTCGGGCTCCATGCCGCGAGCAACGCAACCCGTCCCGCTCTTCTCGACGTGTCATGTATCACCCTCCCGGCCAGCTTCCCCGCATGCGCGTCGTCGGCTGTGGCCCGCTCCAGCATCATACTCCGTGCCTACCTCATGCAGTCCCCGCCCACTCTCCTTGCATCTGGCCTTCGGCCTGCTCCTCTCCTCCTGTAATCCGTTCCAGCCTCGCTCGCGCCACTGAGCATAAACGATCTCATGAGCGCGCTCTGCGGGTCTGTCACGTTCCTGATGGTGTGCTATTGCGCCGCTCGCCGCTTCTTGGCAGCGCCCGTCTCTGCCGCCGCCCCTGCCGGTGCCTGTCCGGCGACTGTGGCGGCCCAGAGCTCCTCGTTCATCTTCGTGGCGCGCTCCAGCTGCGCCCGCAGCGTCGCAATCTCCTCTTGCGCCGCAGCTGCCTGCTTCGCCGCACGTGCTACCGCCTCTGCGTCGGCGACGCTGGCTGCTGGAGCCGCAGCTGGCTCGGCGTACGTGCTGGACGCGAGCGACGGCGCAGTGAGATAGCTTTGCAGCTGCGAGACATCAGCCTACGCACTGAAGCTGCATCTGCGCGCGACTCACTGCATCTCCTTGCTCGAAGCTCTGCATTTCCATCACTGCCTCGTCGGCCTTCTCAATCGTGCGCCCGAGCGCAGTGATCGGCGGCGCGTCATTCTGCGCCGCGCCTGCGCCCGAGCCAGCGGGCGGCGGCGGCGTGAAGAGCAGCGGCACCAGGTTCGACACGGCGCGCACAGGAGCCTTTGTTGTCGTCTCGGGCGCGAGATCCACTGTGCGCAGCAGCTGCGAGGTGTGCACGTCGTAGATCTGCAGCATGCCGCTCGCGAGCCCGACGAGCAGATGTGTGGCAGAGAGCGAGAGCGCGAGGGATGTAATAGGGGCCCTTGGACACGCCAGCGTCAGCAGCAGCGCGGAAGGCCTCCTGTGGTAGCACACTCACGGGGTCACGAGCGCCTCGCCGGCGACAGCACCCTCCGTATAGCCATGCGGCGTGACCAAGTCTATCCGCCAGACCCGGCCGCCCTGCTGCTTGCCCCCGCCGCGCTCCGCCGCCGGCACGTCGCCTGCGACAAAGGCAAAGCGCGCCGACGCATCGAGCGCCAGATGCGAGAGCGGTGCTGGCAGGATGTGCGTGTGCAACAGTCGCCGTGTGCGCATCGACCACGACTTGAGCGTGCCGTCGCGGCTCGTGCTGTACAGCCGAGCACGCAGACCGCTGCCCGGCGACAGCGCAAGTGCGGTGACAGGCAGTGAGTGGTCTGTGAAGAGCGCATACGGCGCGGGCGTGGCAGACGCCGGATTGTGCAGGCTGCGCATGGACGTGAGAAAGGGACAAGGCGATACAGATCGTGGGTGACCACTCACGCTGCCACGCTCCACGCAGCGATGCGCGAGTCGTCACCGGCAGAGATGAGGAAGTCGTCGTCGTCGGTCCATGCGAGACAGGTGACTGGCCGGTATGCAGCCTGCCAGCTGGCACAGAGGCGGCCGCGCGGGTCCCAGAGCCAGACATGGCCATCCGCGGCGCTCGAGGCCGCCAGGGCCGCCGAGGCGGCGTGCGACGCGGCCAGGGCGCGCAGCGGCGCGGCGGGGATGCAGCGGGCGGCGAGGGCGCCGCTGCTGCCGCTGCTGCCGGGCAGGGCGTGAATGTGCAGCAGTGCACGGGCGGCATCGGCGTGCACGACGTGTGCGGCGCCGAGGCGAGCCAGGGCGTGGGCGCCGGGTGCGGGCACGGCGGAGCGCAGCGTGAGGAGCGGCGCGTGGGCGTTGGGCGCACTCAGGCCCACCACGGCCACGACGGCGGCGACGTGGCCCGACGGCTGGGCGGGCGTGAGAGAGTAGAGGATGGCCTCGCGCGGCAGCTGCGCCGTCGTGGTCATGGCGAAGTGCAGGTCGTGGGTGGAGGATGGAGGCTGAAGGCTGGTGTGGAGCTGCAGGAAGGCCTCGAGGAGGCAGAGCAGCCAAAAGTTGCTGACATAAGCACGCTCGCCGTTCCCACGCTGCCTTCGCGGGTCACCAGAAGGCTTGGCCGCGGCTGCGATAGTGCGCCCGGCGTTGCGGCAGGCGGCCAGTGTCGGCCGTTTCGTGCCGCGCCTTCCCGAGGCACGCAAGTGACTCGCCTCGGCGGCGCTGGAAGAACAGCGAGGCTGGCCGCATGCGAGAACGCGTCTCCGCAGCCCCTCTCTCCCTCCCACCACATCTCCTCACCACCCCGCACTCGCCCATCATGTGCGGCATTCTCGCCTGCATTCACCACCCAGACGCGGCCGCATACCGGCCGCGCATGCTCAACCTCTCGCGCTGCATCCGCCACCGCGGCCCCGACTGGAGCGGCTGCGTCGTCACCGACGAGAGCTCGCAGGACACGCCCAAGCAGGGCAGCATTCTGTGCCACGAGCGTCTGGCCATTGTCGGCGTCGGTGAGTAGTGCCTGCAAGGCGATGGGTGTAGGGCCGCGAGACCTCTCGGCGAGCAGCAGGGCAAAAGCTTGGCAGGAGCATCATGGGCAGCAGGTGGGCAGCGCAGGTGCAAGGCGGCGCACAGAGCTGGCGCAGGATGGCGAGGACAGTACAGGGGTCGGGAGCGCGGCACTTTTGCAGAGCGGACAGCGCTGCCAGCATCGGCACACAGGCCTGCACATCGCCGATGTCCTCGCACGCACGCTGCTCCGGCGCGCTGCACGCAGCTGGGACTGACTCCGGCACTCAGACACCGGTGCCCAGCCGCTCGTCTCCACCGACGGCAAGATCATCCTTGCCGTCAACGGCGAGATCTACAACCACCGCGCGCTGCGCAAAGGGCTCAAGGACCAGAGCGCCGAGTTCAAGACGCACTCCGACTGCGAGGTCATCCTGCACCTCTACCGCGAGCACGGTGCCGACTTTGTCAAGATGCTCGACGGCATGTTCTCCTTTGTGCTGCTCGACACGAGCGTGACGCCGTCGCGCGTGCTTGCCGCGCGCGACCCCATCGGCATCACCACGTTCTACAAGGGCTCGTCGTACAAGTACCCGGGCGCCGTCTTCTTCGCCAGTGAGCTCAAGGCCTTCCACGAGGAGTGCGAGATCATCGACGCCTTCCCGCCGGGCCACTACTACGACTCGGCGCGCGGTGACGGCGACGAGATTGTGCGCTACTACACGCCCGCCTGGTGGAACGGCGACGTGGAGCCGAGCGCGCTGCCGACCAACGACGCCGACCTCGCGCTGATCCGCGAGCGCCTCGAGATGGCCGTGCGCAAGCGCCTCATGTCCGAGGTGCCGTACGGCGTGCTGCTCTCCGGCGGCCTCGACTCCAGTCTCATTGCCGCGATTGCCGCGCGCGAGACGAACAAGGTGGCAGAGGCGCAGCGCGTGCGCATGGAGCAGGCGCATCAGCGCCGCGCAGCCAAGCGCATGGCGGGAGGCAGCGGCGCTGTGACGCCGGCGGCCGGTGCCGGCGCTGCTGACGGCATGGCTGTGGGCCTCGACGACGAGGCGGGCGAGGAGACGCTGGCCAGCTGGCCGCGGCTGCACAGCTTCAGCATTGGCCTGCCCGGCTCGCCAGACCTGGCTGCGGCACGGGCGGCTGCCGCCTACCTGGGCACCGTGCACCACGAGTACACGTTCTCGGTGCAGGAGGGCCTCGACGCCATCGCCGATGTCATCTTCCACCTCGAGACGTACGACGTGACGACGGTGCGCGCGTCGACGCCGATGTACCTGCTCTCGCGCAAGATCAAGGCCATGGGTGTCAAGATGGTGCTCTCGGGCGAGGGCTCGGACGAGATCTTCGGCGGCTACCTGTACTTCCACGCTGCGCCCGACGCCACGTCCTTTGCCAAGGAGTGCGTGAGCCGGGTGAAGAACCTGCACACGGCCGACTGCCTGCGCGCCAACAAGTCAACGATGGCGTGGGGCCTCGAGGCGCGCGTGCCCTTCCTCGACCGCGCCTTCCTCGACGCCAGCATGGCCATCGATGCCAAGCACAAGCAGTTCAGCAAGGGCTCGCTGCAGACCAAGGACGCCGACGGCCGCCCGAAGATGGAGAAGTACATCCTGCGCAAGGCCTTTGACCTCACGCCCGAGGGCGACGACAAGCCGTACCTGCCGTCGGAGATCCTGTGGCGGCAGAAGGAGCAGTTCAGCGACGGCGTCGGCTACTCGTGGATCGACGGCATCAAGGAGCACTCGGAGAAGGCCGTCTCGGACGCCAAGTTCTCGCAGCGCGCACGGCGCTACCCGCAGGACACGCCCGACACCAAGGAGGCCTACTGGATCCGCGAGCAGTTCGAGGCCTGGTTCCCGTCGCCCGCTGCGGCCAGCACGGCGGTGCGCTGGGTGCCGCGCGGCGACTGGGGCTGCGCCAGCGACCCGTCCGGCCGCGCCGTGGGCATCCACGACTCGGCGTACAGCACGGAGTGAAGGCGGGGAAGGGGAGCTGGACAGAGGGACGCGTAGAGAGACGCTTGAAGAGGACCAGTAGCGAGACCGCTCAATAATGTGCAAGGCGGAGGACGAGGTCAATAGAGCACACGTGCCGACCGCAAGCATGGGCTGCTTGCCCAATGTGTGATTAGACTTTCATTACGGAGCTCGCAGCGATGGGATGAAGTGTGCTTGAGATGAAGGGTCAATCGGCACGGCCCGGGCGACGCAGCTGCGCACGGCGCCGAGCCACGGGGGGCTTGGGAAGGGACTAGAGGCGACGGGCGCGGACAGGCGGCACGCAGCGCGCGCGGCAAGGCCAGAGCCGACGGACGCCTGCGAGCCCGGCGGCCCAGCGCCGCAGGGAGGGGTCGTAGCAGGGACATGGCGGGCGTTAAACGGGACAGCGGGCGCGAGAAGATCTAGGCGTTCGCGTGCTGGCGGACAGACAGCCCTCATCAGCATGGCGGGCAGCATCGCAGCTTCCGCAGCGCTCACCTTCCGCGTGTACTCCTGCGCCGTCTTGTTGAACTTGGCCCGGTCTGTCTTGTACATCTCCGCTGAGGCACAGAGCGATGAGGAACGTGTCTGACTGCAACGCCGGCTGCAGCGACTTACCGATCGATGCCACGAGCGCGTCATCCGGGTTCGGCTCGGCAAGCAGCTGCTGGATCGAGAGCAGGACTGGTGCGAGGCATGGTGTGAGCTGCAGTCACCGCCTGCGCAGTGTGGTAGCGGCAGCATGCTTGCACGCCAACAAACCTGGCACGCCAGGGACATGCGCCTTGCCTGTGCTGCCGTCAGGCACCTTGCTCCAGCCTGGAAGTCCAGCTTCGCGCTGCTGTGCCCGTTCATGCTCTGACGCCCCGGCTTCGAACCTCCGACGCAGCCTTCCTGACACCCCTTGCACTCACTCGTTGCTGCCTTCGTGCTCGGCTTCCATGCCTCCGACTTCAGCAGACCCACACACATGTCTGCACACGCAGCACAGCAGAGCGTCAGTGTCCAGACAGCTTCCCTAGCACGCGAGACACGCACTGCCATCTTCATCAACGTTCGGGTGGAAGACGCGCGTGGCGAACTTGAGGCGCGGCGACTTGAACGGGTACTCGATGGGGAAGTCGAGCTCGATCTGCGTTCGTCGTCAGCACGAGGCTTCTCTCTCGCATTGCCCGGCTCAACCCACCACAAAGACGCCGCCAGCATATGGGCTGTCAGCCTGCGGACAGAGTTGGTGAGCCGAAGTGGAGCAGATGCCTCCAGCAGGACGACGTACCGGCCCGTGCAGCTTGGCGGTCCATTTGTAGATGTTGGACCTGCAGGCACGAGTCAGGACGGGACATGATGAGGCCTGCAAGCACAACGCCGACGCACTCGTTGGGCGTGATCTCTGCGCTCGAGCCATGTCAGCGCAACGAAGCAGCAGGCGAGCGGAGCGGCGCGACGCACCAATGCCGTCAAGCGGAGTGTTGTTCAGGTCCATCAGCTCCTGAAAGCGGCCAGCGAAGCGGTGTTAGCGTGCGCTGCCAAGCTGCTGCTGGCGCAAGCGTGCAGGCGCTCGTGGACGGCGACATCAAGTCGTGCGGCTCCACTGCGCCCGCTGTGCCGGTCCGCCACCCCCACTGCTGCGTCGTTGGAGAGCTAGTACATGCCGTACCGGCGCCGCAGCTACTCAGAGCCAGAGTCTGCTGCTCATCGGACAGCAAGGCGCCGGCAAGTGTTCCAAAGCGCAAGGTGCTCGGTGCGCACCTTCGTGAGACGCTTCGAGCTCGCCATGATGGGCGAGGAGGTGTGGAGCGGAGCGAGGCGGGAATGAGAGTGATAGACAAGGCGTGGAGTGCCGAGCGAGGGAGTAGTGGAGAGGAACGTGCACGCTCAGGGGAGTGGAGATGGGGTTGCGAGGCAGGCTGGCCGTGCCGTGCGCCGGCGGAGCTCCACGCGCGCACTGGCAGGCGCTGTGACGCACGGCACCGCTCAGCCCGCCGAGTCCTTGGCTGGCGCCGTGCTTCGCCGCCGTCGCGCTCTTGGCCAGCTCGCGCGACCGTGCAGCGGGCAAGCTGCTCCCACGCTGTCCGTGGGAGTCACGCTGCGTCACGCTAGCGCCCTCCACTCGCTGACACGGAGGCAGGGAGGGCCCTTGCTTTGCTTCTTCGCGCCGCGCCTCGCTCTGTCCCTCTCGCTCCCGACACCCACTCTCTGCGCACCCCACACCGCCAGCCATGGCCCTCTCACAGGCCCTCTCCGCGCTGCTTGTCGGCTCAGTGCCGGCTGCAGCCGACGGACCGCCCGCACTGCTGCCCGACGAGCTGCTCGCGGCACTCAGCGGCCTCTCCCACGAGTCCGCGTCTGCGAGCGCCGCTGTCGATGACGATGATGATGCGGATGACAATGATCCGCGCGCTACTGCCGGACTCTGGGACGAGATGCTCGACGCTGCATGCGTCATCACCGACGCCGAGCCGGCGCAGAATGGCGCGAGACAGTCCCCCTGTGCCGCTCTGGACAGCCTGAACCAGTGCGTGCCCTAGCACGCCCCCCCCCCCCCCCCTTCCCCTCCTTGCAGTCCACGCTGACCGTGGCCGCAGACATCTGGAGCGCGCGTATCCCGACGAGTCGCTGCGCACGTCGATGCTCACGGCGCTCGCAGATGTGCTGGCGGCGGGCCGTGGAGACGACGAGGTCAGCGCACAGCTGGCCGAGACGCTGGGCTGGGACCAGCTCGAGCTGGTGGAGCAGGTCATGGGCGAGCGCCAAAAGGTGCTGGATGGGCTGCGACGGGTGAGTGGTACTCGTCGTTGTTAGGCCCGAGCGGAGCCACAAGACACCGGCATGCGAGCGGTTGTGCTGGACTCGGAGCATGGGAAGGGACGACGCTGCTGATGCCTCTTGCCTGCAGCCACAGGATGACGCCCAAGACGTTGCAGCGGTCGACCACTACCAGCAGTCGTCCTTTGCGGCACCAGCTGTCGAAGAGCGCCACGCAGCCCCATCAGGCGCCTACGTGCCTCGCGCACAGATGACGTTCCAGACTGCCGAGGACGTGGCCGAGCAGAAGCGGCAGCGTGCCGAGGCTCGCCGCGCTGCTCGTCACCGCAACGCGACCGGACAACACGCAGAGGATGCGCCTCTGTCGCTCGCTGAGATGGAGCGCATGCGCGAAGCAGAGCTTGCAGCGGCGGCATCTCGGCCGCTGTTCACCTCCAACCCGACGGGCGCTCGCTCGGAGCCGCAGTACCCGCACGTCTACTCGTCTGGAGCACAAGGCAACATCCTCTCAGCGATGGGCCAGAAGTTCGCCTTGCCGGCCGGTACGACGCGGGAGCAGGCCGAGTTTTGGGAGGAGGTGACGATCCCACCGCCGAAGCAGCTGCCCTTCCGCTCTGCAGAGCGCCTGATCCCGATCAATGAGCTGCCGCCAATGTTCCGCTCGGCCTTTCCCGGCTACGCCAGCTTGAATCGGCTGCAGTCGGCCGTGTTCCCTCTAGGCTTCCAGACCAACGAGAATCTGCTCATCTGTGCACCGACGGGCGCCGGCAAGACCGACGTGGCCATGCTCACGGTCTTGCGCTGCATCAGCCTGTACGCTGCCGAAGCACAGGCACGGCAAGAGGCCGGGCCAGGCGCAGCGCGCGGCGTGGGCCAGTACGGCATCCGCATGAACGAGTTCAAGATCATCTACGTCGCGCCGATGAAGGCCCTCGCTGCGGAGATCGTACGCAAGTTCGGCAAACGCCTCGCCTACCTTGGCATCAAGGTCCGCGAGCTCACGGGTGAGAAGCAGCGCTGCGTATGACTGCGAGCGGCGTTGACAGTACCTCGTCTGCAGGTGACATGCAGCTCACGAGGCAGGAGATCGCCGAGACGCAGATGATCGTGACGACGCCCGAGAAGTGGGACGTCGTCACGCGCAAGCCGACCGGCGAGGGCGAACTGGCCTCAGTGAGTCGCCAAGAGCCTGTCTCGCTTCGACGGCGACTCACGCCTGCACCGCCGCTCAGAAAGTAAAGCTGTTGATCATCGACGAGGTGCACCTGCTCCATGAAGACCGAGGAGCTGTCATCGAGACGATTGTGGCCCGCACGCTGCGCTTGGTACGTCGCCTCTAGTCCGCGATCGCACCACCACGCTCACGCTGCCTCTGCACAGGTCGAGTCGAGTCAATCGCTCATCCGCATTGTCGGCCTCTCGGCCACGCTGCCCAACTACGTCGACGTCGCCGACTTCCTGCGGTGAGTGAGCCCCCTGTCGCCGCTGCGTTCGATGCTCACACCTGCCCAGGGTCAATCGCATGCAGGGCCTCTTCTACTTCGACTCCTCGTTCCGCCCGGTGCCGCTCGAGCAGCACTTCATTGGCGTCAAGGGCAAGGCAGGCAGTCCGACGTCGCGCGGCAACCTCGACAAGGCCGTGTTCAACAAGGTCGAGCAGCTGCTGGCGCAGGGGCACCAGCTGATGATCTTCGTGCACGCACGCAAAGAAACGGTCAAGACGGCCATGACGATGCGCGACATGTGCCGCGACGAGGGCATTGCCGAGCTCCTCATGGCCGGACGCGAGGGCAACGTCAAGCTCGACGGCATCAAGCGCGACCTGCTTACCAGCAGGAACAAGGAGCTCAAGGAGCTCTTCGAGTCGGGCCTCGGCATCCACCACGCCGGCATGCTGCGTTCTGACCGCAACTTGAGCGAGCGCGCCTTCGAGAGCGGTCTGACACGCATCCTCTGCTGTACCTCGACGCTCGCGTGGGGTGTCAACTTGCCCGCCTACGCTGTGCTCATCAAGGGCACCGAGGTGTACGACTCGAGCGTCGGCAAGTTCGTCGACCTCTCCATCCTCGACGTGCTGCAGATCTTCGGACGCGCTGGACGACCGCAGTACGAGGACCTCGGCGTGGGCTACATCTGCACGAATCAGGACAAGCTGACGCACTACATCGACGCGATCACGTCGCAGCACCCTATCGAATCGAAGTGAGTGGCTCGGCGTGCCAGGCAGAGAGCTGCGCTGACGCTCTGCAGGTTCATCACCGGCCTCGTCGACTCGCTCAACGCTGAGGTGGCGCTGGGCACGGTCAACAGCCTCGATGACGGACAGACGTGGCTCTCGTACACGTACATGTTCACGCGCATGAAGCGCAACCCGCTCGGCTACGGCATGGCCCACACCGAGGTGGCCGACGACCCGCACCTCGGCGCCAAGCGGCTGCAGCTCATCCAGTCTGCGGCCCGCCGCCTCGTTGCGTGCAAGATGCTCGAGCTTGACGAGGCCAAGGGACGCCTGACCATCACTGATCTCGGCCGCGTGGCGGCCAAGTACTACATCCCGAACCGCACCGTCGAGATCTTCAACGAGAAGCTGCGCCCGCACATGAGCGAGGCCGACGTGCTGTCCGTCCTGTCGCTCGCCACGGACTTTGAGCAGATCATTCCGCGCGAGACCGAGGAGAAGGAGCTCAAGAAGATGCAGGAGAATGCGCCCTGCGAGGTTCCAGGCGGCTTCGGCCACTCGCCCGGCAAGGTCAACGTGCTGCTGCAGGCGTACATCTCCAAGGTCTACATCGAGGACTTTGCGCTCGTGTCCGACTCGGCCTATGTGGCGCAGAACGCCGGTCGCATCATCCGTGCTCTGCTGGAGGTGGCTCTGAGCCGCAAGTGGGCGCCGGTCACCGCCGCGCTCATGTCGATGAGCAAGGCCGTCGAGCGGCGCATGTGGCCCTTTGAGCATCCGCTCTCGGTTGAGCAGAGCAAGCTCTCGCCCGACACCGTCTACAACATCACGCGCTGGGCCGACGACGTCGACGTCGCCACGTTCGCGTCGATGTCTGCTGCAGACATCGGCACGCTCATCCACCTCAACGAGCGGCAGGGCGGCTTTGTGCGGCAAGCAGCGCGCCACTTTCCCGTCATCAGTGCAGAGTACGCGCTGCGTCCGCTCACGCACGACCTGCTGCGCATCGTCGTGGACGTGTCGCGCGACTTCGAATGGAGCGAGCGCCTGCATGGCGGCGCCGAGCCGTTCCTCGTCTGGGTCGAGGAAGAGACTGGCGTGAAGATCCTCCAGTCGCACCGGCTGCTGCTGCGACCTCAAGCAGCAAAGACGAGCGTCTCGTTCGTCGTGTCGGTACCGCAGCCGCTGCCGGCTGGCATGACTGTGCGCTGGATCTCCGACCGCTGGCTTGGCGCCGAGGACCAGCTGTGGATGCCGTTCGATGAGCTGGTCATGCCAAGCGCGCCCCCGGCTCACCTTGCGCTGGCAGACGTACCGCTGCTGCAGGTCGGCCCCGCACTGGGCACGCACGTGGTCGAGTCGATCTACTCGCACCGCTTCAAGGCCTTCAACGCAGTGCAAACGCAGGTCTTCCACACCATGCTGCACTCCCGCGCCGATGCGCTGCTCTGCGCACCGAGCGCTTCCGGCAAGTCGACGATGTCGGAGATGGCCATCTGGCGTGCGCTGCGTGAAGACCGCCTCGCCTGCGTCCTGGTGCTGCATCCGCTTCGGACTCTCTCGCTCGCGCACGCAGACGCCTTCCGCAGCCGCTTCGCCGACCTGGCAGGGCTCGCGGTACGCCCGGCGCGCTGGCCACGGGACCTTGCGCCGCCGTCGCCTCCGAAGCCGACAGTCGTCTATGCGACACCAGCGTGCGTGCTGCGGGCCCTGTCCGAAGAGGGCCACAGCGTGCTTGAGCATTTCAATCTCGTCGTCGTCGAGGACGTGCACCTGCTCGATGCGCCGCTCGAGCTGCTGCTGTCCAAGATGCGGAGAGTGATCTCGCGCGAGCACACGCGACTGGTCGTCACTTCGGCCAGCCTAGCGGACGCCAGCGGGCTGCAAGAGTGGCTGGACATCAAGCCTGCGGCCACGTTCTCCTTCCACCCGTCGGACTCGCCGTCGCCACTACGCATCAGCTTCCAGTCCTTCGACCTGCCGCATTCGGTCACGCTGCTCAAGGCCATGGCCAAACCAGCGTACGACCGCATGAAGGCCGCTGTGGCCTCGGGCCCGGCGATGGTCTTTGTGCCTTCGCGAGCGCAGTGTCTCGGCACCGCTACAGACCTGTCGACGCGGTCCGCGACGGACATGGAGACCGAGTCGTTCCTGCGCGTCGACGTGCGCGACCTTGAGCCGCTGTTCGACGCACTCAGCGACCGCGCGCTTGTGGACCCGCTGCTCCACGGCATTGGCGTCTGGCACGAGGGCATGTCGCCTCGCGATCAGGCACTCATGCTCGATCTCTACGACCAAGGTGCAATTCGCGCCCTGGTCGTCTCTCGCGATGCGTGCTGGACGCTCCCGGCGCGTGCCCATCTAGTCGTAGTCATGGCGACGCAATACGTGCGCCTAATGCCATCAAAGGCGGAGGCGCTCGGCACTGGACGCAAGATCGAAGGACTGGCCGACCGTCGCCTGACCGACTACTCGCTGCCAGAGTTGGTGCGCATGAGCAGCTTTGCCGTGCGCCCGGGCGCGGCGACGCCTGGCGAGTGCGTCGTCATGTGCCAGGGCGACCAGGTGGCCTACCTGCAGCGCATGCTCTCATCGGGCCTGCCGCTCGAGTCGTCGCTGCACGAGGATCGTGCTGCAAGCCTGCTGGCTCCGCTGCTGCTCGAAGTGGCCGCCGGACGCGTCACCACGCCAGCGGCGCTCGTCGACATGCTGTCGTGGACATTCCTCGCGCATCAGGCGCAGCACAACCCGTCGTACTACGACTGTGGCGCATACATCGTAGCGAGCCTGTCCGACATTGCGGACGCGCTCTTCGACGAGCTCGAGGCGATGCGCTGCGTCGTCCGCGCAGGCGGCGCTTACAGCGCTACCTCGCTCGGTCAGTCACTCGCGCGCGATCCCTTTGCCTTCACGGATCTCGTCTCGCTGCACCGCGCCGCATCATCGGATGCGATCTTGGCCGGCCAGATCGCCACGAGCATCAAGCACGGATCCGAGCCTGCAGCGGACGAGGCCGGCGCTGCCGCTGAGACGGCTGTGCTCGATGCCACGCGGGCCTCGATCCCTGGCGAGTGGCTCGCAGCTGCCAACGTGCCCCGTCTGCCGCGCCGCGGAGCAGCAGCAGCCGATGCGCCAGTCGCCAACGGAGACGGGACCGCAGCTCCAACCGAAGCTGCTCTGACACCGGCGCAGCGCCGGGCGCTGCTGCTCGTGGCGTACTTTGCCTGCCGCCCAGTCGGTGGTGCCAAGACGGACGCGGCACATCGTGGCGCACGAGAGCGGCTGCAAGACGAACAGGCGGCGCTGGTGCGGGCGCTCCTACGTACCCAGCACAAGAGAGTCAACGGGCGTGGCAAGGGCAAGTGAGCGGGATGCTGAGACGCACGGAGCTACCTGTCTTCGCGCAGCCTGTGCCGCGCCGCAATGCAACACCGTGCTCAGACGGCTTGACACATCTCCTCTGAGCCAGCCAGGACACGACCGAGCTGGGTATTCGGCTCATAATGCGTGAGCTTTTTATGCTTACATTCGATTTGAGTGATCGGTGAAGGTATGCTCGCGCAGCGCGATGCTGCCTTTCAGCGTAGCGAGTTGTATGGGAGAGCCAACGGGAGGCATGACGGACGCGTCGCGCTGGCAGCTGGAGGAGCGGCGCTGGAAACGCGCACGGCCTGTCTTGCCTCCACAACACCTTCCCGCCCCTTCCGACCGACACATGGCGTCGCCGCCGTATGCCGCCGCACCACCGCCGCCGGCGCTGGGCGGCCTGCGTGCGCTGATGCTGCTGCAGCTCTCCACGCGCGCAGTCTCAGTGCTGCTGGCGCAGTTCCTCGTGCGCATCGCGCCGCCGGCCGTCTTTGCCGCCGCGCACATCCACCTCGACCTGCTCCTCTCCACGCTGCTCTTTCTGGCGCGCGAGGGCGTGCGCGGAGCGCTGCTGCGCGCGCCGGAGGACGCAACGGCGGCAGAGGCGTCAGCCAAGTCAGACGGCAAGAGCACGGCTGCGTCGGCGGCGCAGCACGTCGCCCAGCGCGAGCGGGCGCGCCAGAATGTCGCACTGCTGCCGCTCGTGCTCGGCGCCGCCATGCTGCTGCCGGCGTTCCCGCTCTACGCTCGGCTGGCACCCGCGTCGCTGCGAGAGCTGGCGAGCTTCAGGTCTGCCCTCGCCCTCTACCTCCTCGGCGCGGCGCTCGAGCTGCTGGCCGAGCCGCTGCACACGCGTGCCCTGTCGCGTGCCTCGGACACGGGCAACGGCATGGCGCTGCGTGTGCGGGCCGAGGGCGCGGCAGTGCTGTCACGCTGCGCTGCCACAGCAGTCACACTCTACGTTGCTGTGCGGCGACTGCGCATCGGAGAAGCGGATGCGGCGCTGCTGGCATTCGCATGCGGCCAGGCTGCGTACGGCGGCGGCACCCTCGGCGTCTACCTGGTGTACTTTCTGCGCGCATGGGGTCCGCGCCAAGTTGCTGCGCTGTTCACTCCGTCTCGTGTGCCGCTTAGCATGCCTGGCGTCGAGCTGGCATCATCGCAGCCTGCAGCAGACTCGGCATTGCTCGACAAGCACGCGTTCGCGCTGGCGGCCACAATGACGCGGCAGAGCTTCCTGAAGCACCTCCTCACTGAGGCCGACCGGATAGCGGTCGCCCGTCTGGCGACGCTTGACAACCAGGGCGCATATGCTCTGGCTGGCAACTACGGTGAGTGTGCATGTGGTGTAGCGCTGTCGAATCCCTGCTGACTTGCACCTGCCGCCTCCGCGCAGGCTCCCTCTTTGCGCGCCTGCTCTTCCAGCCGGTCGAAGAGTCAGCTCGTCTCGTCTTTGCTCGCAGCCAGTCGAGCACCGGCGAGGCATCGCAGTCGGCTTTGAGCCTGCTGCGCCCTCTGCTCTCGCTCTACATCATCCTCTCGCTCTTCCTCGCCGCCTTTGCGCCTTTCTTCGCCATGCCCGCGTTGCTGCTCGTCGCAGGGCCGCGCTGGGCGCTCAGCACGGCGGCGCCGCAGCTGCTGGCATGCTATGCTGCGCTGTACCTGCCTGTGCTGGCGCTGAACGGCGTGCTGGAGGCCTATCTGCAGGCTTCCGCATCACCGCAGACGCTCAAGCGCTACGACGGCATCCTCGTGCTGGCCTCTGGCGCGTTCGTCGGCGCACTGGTGCTTGGCCCACAGCTCGGCCTGACTCGCGGCGGCATCGACCTCATCGTGGCCTCCACGCTGAGCTCGGGCGTGCGCGCCCTCTTTGGCGCCTACTATGCCTTCCGCGCAGCGCCGGCTGGCCCAAGCGTGTGGCCGCGCCTCTCGACGCTGGTGCTCTTCGCACACGCTCCCGTGCTCTTCGCGTGGACCTCGTCGCGCGTGAGGGCCATCCCGCTGGCCCTGGGTGTCCGCGCACTGGCACGCCGCGACGTCGCCCAGCATCTCGCATGCGGCGTGGCAGGCGCTGCTGTCTTGCTCGCTGTCTGGTCAGTCGGACCGAGCCCAGAGCGCTATGCGCTCCACTGACGCCGCCCTCCACAGCTACTTGCAAGAAGGCCCCAAGCTTCGTCTGGCTCTCGCAGCTATCCGCGGCTCCAGCTAAGCATCTCAACATGTCACGTCTAATCTTCATTGCTTGCATTTTGCTGGGTTTCATGCGCTCGCGCGCGCGCTCTTCAGCTCGGCGACCTCGGCGCGCAGCGCACGCAGTTCTTGCAGGATCTGTGCGAGATCGTCGGCGCTGGGCGCTGGCGCATCGGAAGCTGCAGACTTGTCTGCGTTGTCGTCGTCCGAGGCCCGCTCCACCGCCAGGCGCTTGACGAGCTCGGCGAAGGGCGTGCGTGACTGTGGAATGCGGCGTCAGCGTGAGGAGCAGGCAGCGCATGCCAGATGGCACTCACGAGAACGAGCTGGCCATCCTTGGCACCCGGGTCCTCGACGGAGCCGCCAATGTGCGCCATGCCCTCGCGGCCGCTCAGCGCAGGAACGTGCTCGAGCATCTCGAGGCGGATGCGCCGCAGCATCGTCTCGTCGAAGCGGCTCTCGTACAGCGCAATGACGATGAGGAAGGGCCAGTAGAGCAGCGTCTGGACGACGCGGTTGAGGCGAGCGTACGCTGGGCGGCTCAGAACGAACTCGAACGGCGCCTGTGCAGGAAGCACGTCAGCATGGAGCTTGTGAACGCTGGCCACTCAACACTCACGATGACGAAGGCCTCGAGCAGATTGAAGGGCGGGATATACACGAACATGTCGGGTGCGCGGATGCTGCCGCTGACCTTCTCGGCGAAGTAGGCCGCGAACTGGTCGTTTGCGTCGTCGACGGCTGCAGAAGCGAGGTGAGCGGAGCCTGCAGCGCATCTCGCACGCGCGTACGCACTCGAGTCGTACGCAGAGGAGAGCAGGGCCACGAGGATGTTGCCGAGCTAGGTAGACGTGACGTCAGACTCGGACCAGCGACGAGGTCACTAGACGTCGCTCGAGACTCACCAGCAGCGTAGAGACAAAGACGTAGACGTAGTAGACGATGAGCTGAGGAGAGAGCGTCAGAGGGGGGCTGTGAGGGTGAACAGGAGAGCAGCACGCACGCCGAACGGCTTGCCTGCAAGCAGCCGAGTGTCAGCGAGAGAACACGCGAGCGCTCGGCGTGCGACGCACCGAACTGATCGCCCATGAAGCTCTCCCAGTCTGCGCCGCCGAGCACAGCCTGCGCCATGAGGTTGGTGACGAGCGAACCCGAGTCCTCGACACGGCGACCTGTTGCAGCATCAGCACACGGTGGCCGACGACAGACGCAAGCCACGCACCGTCAGCGGCGTCGAGAGCGAAGAGACACTGCGCGAAGCCGACGGCTGATGGAAAGACCTGTGTCAGCACAAACGACGCTATGGACTGGCGCGTCGCCTCACCGGTGAGGAAGAGGAGCAGGAAGAAGGAGGCCGTCTCGCGCAGCATTCTGAGGAGCACGATGTTGACGACTCCTGCAGGGCCATGGCGGCTGTCAGCATGCTGCTGTCATGGGTTGAGGGGAGGTCACTGACCGAGATACTGCAGGCAATCGCCCCACTGACAAGGACGTGTCAGCCTCGTGCGCTGACAATACAGCGGCCTTGCTACCCACCTTCAGCAGCTGCATCCAGAGCAGCGGAGCCGCACACGCCAAGAACTGGAACTGCATCGAGATGTCCTGTGAGCGATGCTGCGCCTGACACGTCTCTGTCTGGGACGCACGCTGAGCAGCTGCAGCTCGTTGCGGTGGTCGCCGTGGTTGATCCATCCCGCGACGCGGAATACAAACGATGTGACGAAGAACAGGTCGGTCAGAATGTCGACGATGACCCAGAAGGAGATGTTGTCCAGGCCGCGGATCTTGACCCAGCGCACCGCGTCCTCGAAGAGATAGCCGGCCGCGAGGATCCAGAAAGCCACCTCCCAGCCGTCGAGGCCGTTGAACTCGAGCGTGCTCATCGTGTAGACGAAGAGGAGGCCCTGTGTGTGCTGCATGAGCGTTCGTTCACTGACACCAATGCTGAGGACTCACGGCGTGGATGACGACGCTGGCGTAGTAGGCGTTGCGCGGCACAGCAAGGCGCGCAGGGTCCAGGTGCGCCAGGAAGCCACCATTCTCGGAATTGTGGTAGGGCACAAAAGAGACACGGCCGTCGTCGCCATACTGCTGGATCAGGTGGCCGGCCCAGAGAGCCTGGGCGCAGCGCTGCGCCTCAGGGGCAGAGAGGAAGATGACGCTGTTTGGGGTCAGTGACAAGTCAAGCGCCGCGGAGAGACGCAGGCGCACCAGTCCTGGTCGACGGCCGCCTCAAAGGCAGACGTCGGCAGCGTCTCGTCTCCGTCGTCGTCGAGCATCTTGAACTGCGCTCCACTGTGAGTATCTCATGCTACGGCGCTGTCATGCGACACTCACACGCTTGGTGAGGCAGAGGTGCGCCGCCTCGCGGCCGAATGCAGTCGGTCCACGCGCTGGCTCCTCCTCGCCGCCGGCAACGGCGTCGTGTTGCTGCTCCACCTCGGCGAGGAAGCGGTACTCGATGAGCGAGACGGCGCGACGCGCGATGACCTCGCACGCCAGCATGCGCAGATTGTTGAGCGTCGTCGAGCGCTGTGCGGCGTCGCTGGAGATGACGAGCGGATCAGCGGCGTGCTGCAGTGCGCCGGGCATGCTCTGTGCCCGCGCTGCCCAGCACTTACGTCTCGAACATGCGGCGGGCCTGCAGCATGGCAAATGGCACAGCGTCGGCGAGGTCGCCGCCAGCCATGAGCATGGCATCGACGACGGGCTGCGAGATGAGGCCGTCGGGCGCAGGTGCCGTGATGCGCGCCTCGTCGACCTCCTCGGACAGCAGGGCGCTGACGAGGGCACGCAGACGCAGCGTCAGGGCAAGCAGCGTCGAGGCGGCCAGCGGCGTCGTGGGCTCGAGACGCGAGCGCGTCGGCGCGGGCCCGGCGGCATCGCCGGAAGCAGCGGGCATGCTTGCGGGCGGAGAGGGTGTGGAGAGAAGGCAGGTGGAGGAGCTGCGGTCCGCGATGGCAGCTGCAAGGGCCCGATAGGTTTAAGCGGTGCGGGTGCAGTGCGGCCCGGCACGCAGGGCGGACAGCTATTCCGCGGCTTGCATGGCCCAGGCGTGGGAGCATCTCGGCTTTCGTACGGCTGAGCGGAGCGCGAAGAGAGCCGCAGCTGCGGCACAGCTCCCACGGTCCCCTGCGCGTCCGCCATCTCAGACGCGGCCGTCGTGACCAAAGACGAAGACTGCGGCACAAAGGAAGCTCACAAGCGAAGCAGCAGCAGTGATTGGGCAGAACATGAAGATATTGCTGCTCCGCAGACGCTATGGTGGCGCAGTGGCCGCGGCGGCAGGCGCGCATGAGTCCGACGGCGAGTGGGTCACGTGCAGGCGAGGTGCTGCTGCTGCCTTTGGCCGCCGCGCTGCATCTTCGCGCCGCCGCGCTCCGCCTGCCCCGCCAGCGCCGCGCGCCGCCGCCGCCGTGGCACGCCGGGCAGCGGGCGCCGCCTTCTCGCCGCCATCTCGCCATCCTCAAGCCTCACCCCACCCACTCGCCCAACTCACCATGTCCGGAACCTCGCAAGACCTGCAGTGGCTGCTCGTGCGCACCAACACGGCCTTCCTCGTGAAGCAGCAGGGCCTGCCGCGCATCTTCACGCGCGAGCCGAGCAACCTGCGCCAGATCCACTCCTACACCTACTCCGGCCTTGTCAACGACAAGCGCGTCGGCGTCGAGGCTGCTCACGGCGGCCGTGGTGTGGTTATCACCACGCGCAAGAGCAAGGCGGCCTCCAACGCCATCAAGGGCTCCAGCAGCACGACGACGATGTGAGTTGCGCGCGCGGGCGGCGAGGAGAGCGGGATCAGTGGGGCTGCAGGCGCAGAGCAGGGATGAAGCAGTGCACTCGGCATGGACGCGCGCGTTGAAATCTGCCAGGAGTGGATGGGGAAAGGGCCACGCATGTACGACTCGCAGCGCAGGCGTGCTGGTACGTGGCTCTCGACTGACATTGCCTCCTGCTCACAGCAAGAAGGGTGGCTCGCGCCGCACTGCCGGTGCCGTCGCCTCGGTGATTGGCAAGCGCGGCTACCGCTCTGACCTGCTCAAGGGTGAGTGCTGGGACAGGGAGATGATGAGCAGGGACATCTGTGATGGGATCGGCGTTGTCGCAAGGAGCACGAGGGTCGCAGCGCAGGCGGCAGTGGTCCCGGCATGGCAGCAGCTCTCGCTGGCCCGCCTGGCCGTCCGGCCGGCAGCACGGCGCTAGAACCCCCCGGAGCGGTGCACTCCGCCGCGCCATGATGGGTCGGGCGTATACGCGGTGCAACATCGAGCCCGGGCCCAGACGTCTCGACGTCTGCGCCTGGCCCTCTTCTTGCCGCTGCGCTGCCGCTGCTGTGGTGCGGCGTTGCTGCCCCTTTGGCACGCTCAAGCTGGGCGCACACTCCTGTCACTCTTGTGCAAGTCCAGTGTTCTCACACACTTCGCATCTGCAGACGCCGTCGCTCGCTCGTCTGCCATCCTCAAGACGCAGCGCCCCAAGGGCCGCAAGGAGCCGCCGGCGCGCAAGGTGCGCGGCACCGGCGCGCGCAAGGCCCTCTTCAAGAGCCAGGCCGCCGCCGAGCAGGAGACGTCCGCCTAAAATGCGTCGCCCTCCGATGCAGCTCGCGCTCTGATGACATGTGCAGTCGCACTGCCAATGCACTTGTCTTGTATAGCCGATGCCCGGGCGTGAGGCGAGTCACAGAGATGCGAGATGCGCTGCAAAGTGTCTATTCAGGGGTTCTGCTGGCGCACAAAGATGTACTCGTATGCGCTGGGGGAGAGAAGCTGGCGTGAGCAGGACGGAGAGCTGGCTGGCCGGCAGCAGACTCACAGCTTCACGAGGCCCTTGACGCCGACCTCCGACTCGCCGTTCTGCGACGAGTAGGGCGCGCGGACGACCTTCTCGTCGCTGGGGTGCGCACGAGTGTCAGTGTGCGAGTGCCGAGTACCTGGCAGCCTGCTCCACTCACTTGAACAGCACCCACGCATCGGCGCCCTCGCCCGCGTCTAGCGCCGAGGGGTCATCCTGCCGCACATGCGCCACGTAGTGGCCGCTGTGGATCGACGGCTGTGCGGAATGGGCGTCAGAGTGCGGCATCACAAGCGCAGCGAGCGCATACTCACGCCCTTGTGCGAGATGAAGGCCTTGAGGCAGTAGCGCGCCGGCAGGTCCGACGAGCCGCCGACCACAGGCGGGCCAGAGGCGCTGCTCGGCCCAGCCTCTGCCGATGCGCCCGTGCCATCCTCCATCTCGACGTCGGCAGCCGGTGCCGGGGCAGGCGCAGGCTCCTCCTCGCCGACGTCCTGCGGGTTCTCAAATAGCCAGCCAACGGCCATCTCAGCGTTGCCCTGCGCAATGCGCATGGCCTTGCGTGCCTGGTTGCGTGAAAAGCCCATGTCCTCGAGTGCTGACAGGTCCGGTCCGCTGCTGCTACCTCCTGCCGGCTCGGGCACGGCCGCGGCGCTCGAAGCCGCGCTGGGCTCGGCCGTGGCCGGCTCGGCATCGAAGTTGATGGGCTCGTCGAGGCCAGGGGCTGGACACAGGCTCGTCAGCAGCCGACACGAAGCGACGCACACCATCTGCACTCACTCTCTATGTTGGCAAACTGCGCGTGCGGGATGCTGTCAGCGTCACGGGTTCGCCGAGCGCCGGCTGCGTACTCACAAGCCAGTCCATTGCGGCATCGACGTTGGTCATATCGCCGACGGCCATGAAGGCGCGCTGGCAGCGAGGCTTCGAGACTGTACACGGGCGTCAGCTGAGCCAGCGAACAGACGCTCGCAGCCCACTCACAGCCCATCGAGGTCATCTGCGCAAGCAACTCCTCCTTGAACTGCGGGCCAGTCGGCCGAGGCGGCGGCGGTGGCGGTGCCTGAGCGGCAGGCTGGGGAGCAGCAGCCACCGGCTCTGGATCCTTGCTCTCCGGCAGCTCCTCCTCACCCTCCTGAATGCCCTGGCCGAGGTACTTGTCGAGGGAGAAGCTGTCGAGCGGGATGTTGATGGGCACATCGACCTTCTGCGGCACCCAGTTGATGAGCTGGAAGCGGCGCACCTGCAGCGCCAGCACGTCGGGGAAAGACGTGAAGAGCGTCTGCTTCGTCGCGACGACCGTCTTGCTGCAAGCCGGGCAGTGATAGTCGAGCTCCTCGGGCGCAGTGAAGAGATCAAGGCACTCGCGCAGGTCGACCTCCTCGTACTCGATCTTGGCGATGCTGCCGCCGGTCTTGAGCGAGTCGGCGATGGCCTCCTGCAGCTGCTTCTCCTCCTCTTCAGCCTTGCGGCGCTCCTCCTCCTCGTCCGCGCCGATCTCGATGGGATCGCCGCGCTCGCCCGTGGCCGATGCCATGTCCGCGTCGGCCGAGGTGAGGGCAACGGCATCTTCGCTGCCGGCGTCGTAGTTGGTGTCGAGGAGCGGCAGGCGCGTGGCGGTCTGCGACCGCGTGACCGGACGTTCAGTAGTGATCGGTCGCTCAGCGTCGGACTTTGGCGGCTCGTACGCCGGCGCGTCTGCATCTTCTGAGCCGCCCTTGAGTCCTGGCGGCGGCGAGAGCGCTCCAGCGTACGTGCGCTTCGCCGGCTCCGCATCGGCAGCTGCGGTCGGCGCGTTGGGTCCCTCGATTGGCGTCTTGCCCTTGGCATCGCTGCCGGCAGCATCGGCTGGCGGCGGCGTTGCGAGCTCGTCCAAGGCAGAAGAAGGCGTCTCGGGCTCTTGCGACACCACAGTGGGCGTGTCCGTCGCCATGGCATCGGTCGGCACAGGAGCTGGCGGCGGCGAGAGCATGGATGCGTACGTTGGCGGCAGGCTGCCAGTGATGACGGGCATCTGCCCAATGTCGCCGTCTGGCAGCACGTCAGCGGCAGCACTGTCCACTGCGGCTTCGGGCATCACAATGTCGGCAACCATGTCCTCGTCGGCGGGGGCCGGAGCCGGCGGTCGGATGACGCGCACGGGAACGGGCACGCTGAGGCCGGCATCCTGCGCCTCGACGGTGTAGCGCACCCGCCTGCACTCGGTGCACTGCAGACGCTGCTGCAGGCCAAAGCTGAAAATGCGCGTGGCATCGTCCGTCGGCACGCCGTCGATGGAGAGCCATGCCTGCGACTTGAGGCGCCGCGTGTCGTTCTGCAGGCAGCCAAGGAAATGCTTGAGGAACTCGTCGGCGTCCTGCTGCCGGGCAGTGGAGAACTCGGGGTGGCCAGTGCCGATGAGCGCCTTGATCAGCGACGGCTTGATGCCGTCCTGGAACGCCGGCCCGCTGCCCTCTTGCTTGCGCGGCACAGAGTAGCGCCCGGAGAGCAGGCCGTCGGCCAGCCGGCCCATCTGGCACTCGAGGCAGCTCGCTGGCTGCGGGTTCGTGCAGATCGCCGTGTGCGGCCGGTAGGCGAGGCCGTAGCGGGCGCGGAACTGCGGCAGAGAGAAGAGCGCTTGCAGGACGGATGCCATGTAGCAGCTGAGGGGCGCGGCTGTCAGCTTGGACGCTATGTCACTACATAATGCTACAGCGCACCTGTTGCCCAGATTCTCAAGGCCCGTCAGCCCTGGCCCGAACATCGGCTCGAGCTCCTTGCCGTCCTCTCCCGTCATCTGAAAGTCAAATGACAGGTTGTGCGCGAGGTTGAGCTCGCCAAGCGTCTTCTCGGTCTTGGTGAGGCCAAGCGTCGAGATGCCGAGGTGCGCCAGGTGCGTAGAGAGATTCGGGTCCACGCGCTCGTCGTCGCAGGCGTAGCAGTAGATGTCTGCTGTGCCCTCGGCGGTGATGGTGCCCTGCTTGACAGAGACGGGATGCTTGCTCTCCTTGAAGTGTGCCATGGCGTGGCTGTTGCCTGGCAGGCCGCCGTACTGTTCGCGGCCGCATGACACTGCGCCGCAGGTGAGGCAGAGCCAGAGGTTCGCCGTCTGCGAAAGGGCACTCAGCGCCAGCAGCCATGGCGAGCTGGGCAGCGTGACTTACCAAGTCGCACTTGGAACACTGCTGCCGATTCGTCACCTTGCTGGCATCAGCTTGCTGCTCCAGCTGCCGCGTGTGGTCGCAGGGCTTCAGCTCGTTCTCCCATGCCTTGACCTCGTTCTGCTGAGCCGAGTTGAGGCTTTGCATGATGGCATTGACCACCTCGGCGAGCTGAGACCTGCGCGTGAGCATTCGTGATGACTTGCAACGAGAGCGGCGCTCTCACCTTGCCAGCCTTTGGGATCTCCCGGCCCGCGCCATGGTCGCAGGCGAGGCAGCGCACGGTTGTCTCGTACTCCCACTCGTCCTCATCGCGCGACGCAACGATGGCCACCTTGTCCACGGGCTTTGACTGCGATGACTGGGGTGGACATGAGCTCGGGTATGCGCTTTGATGCTTCCCTTTGGCAGAGCGCGGCTTGCTGCGCCATTCCGCTCGCCCGGCGCCATCGTCCCCAGCCTTGGACGCACCTCCTTGGCACGCCGGCGGCGGCGCACGTTGCACACGAGGGCGTGCCACGTCTTGTCGGCGTGAGCACGCGCGTGATTGCGCTCGGGCGCACAGCAGCCGCCATTGAAGCAGGTAAGGCAGACGTCGATGCCGCCGTCTGCCTCTGCGCCGTCGAAGCAGAGCGTGCACTCGCTGCGGTGCACAGCAATGCCGCTGCGCGGCGGCGCGAGCGAGGGCAGCAGCGCGTGGAGGTGCGGACACGGCGGCTGGGCAGCAGCCGGCGCAGATGAGGAGGCGCCCGAGGCGGCGGCGCTGGGAGCCATGGTGCTGCGGCTGCGCGGGTGGGCTGAGGAAGAGGTGGAGGAGTGTGGCGCGGGGGACGAGGAGGTGCGGGCGCGCTTCATCGACTGCGCGGCGGCGACAAGCGTGGCTCGGCGGGGGAAAGCCGGACTGGCTGGCGGCGGCTGTGGGCGATGCGCAGGAGCGGGTGCTCAGGCGGTGTGGTGGTGATGAGGCAAGTACTGGCGCGCTGAGTGTGTGCGTCCGTGCGGCAGCGGGTGTCGTGCGCGTAGGCAAGGGCTCGAGGCGCGCTGTGGAGGCGGCGTGCGCGCCGAGGCGGAGTCGCGCGCCGCGAAGAACCCAGCCCCGAGGACCCTCGCCGAGGTCCTGCTCCCACCACATCAACAGCAAGCAGCAGAACAGCGCCAGGACTGGCAGCGAGCATCTGCGACTCTGGGCCGAGCAGATCGAGCCAGAGCAGACCGACGTGTCTGCCGCCATGCTGCGTCTCGCCATGCGGCCCGCGGCGCTGCAGCAGCGCGGCCGCATGGCGCTGGCGCCCGTGTCTCTTCTGCCCTGCCGTGGGCTCGCGAAGAAGGCAAAGCAGGCCGAGCCGACGCCCAAGCCGAAGCTCACAGCAGACGCACCTCTGAAGGCCAAGAAGACCTACCGGCCGACGATGCTGCTGCCAAAGACGGCCTTCGAGATCCAGGCCAAGGCGCACGAGCGCGACCACCTCTGGGCCCAGCGCACCACCGTCGACCTCTACCGCTGGCAGGCGCAGCACAACCCCGGGCCGCGCTTCGTGCTCGCCGACGGCCCGCCGTACGCCAATGGCCCGCTCCACATGGGCCACGCGCTCAACAAGATTCTCAAGGACATCATCAACCGCTTCCAGGTGCTGCAGGGGCGCAAGGTGCACTACGAGCCCGGCTGGGACTGCCACGGCCTGCCGATCGAGATCAAGGCCAAGGGCCACCTCGCCACGCTCAAGATCGAAGCAACGCCGTCGCAAGTCCGCGACAAGGCGCGCGAGGTGGCTGTGAGCGCCATGGAACAGCAGCAGGACGAGTTCAGCGCGTTCGGCATCATGGCCGACTGGAGCCGCGAGACGACGTACCGCACGCTCGACCCGGCGTACGAGGTGCGGCAGCTCAATGTCTTTGGCGAGATGGTCCGCCGTGGTCTCGTCTACCGCGCATACCGGCCCGTCTACTGGTCGCCCAGCTCCCGCACCGCGCTGGCCGAGGCGGAGCTGGAGTACGATCTCAACCACGTCAGCCGCAGTGTCTTTGTGCGCTTCAACTTCGTGCCCGGGGAGGCGTTCAGAGAAGCCTGCGCCGACAATGTGATCGTCAAGCGCGCTTTGTCGCGCGACGAGCAGATCAGCCTCGTCATCTGGACGACGACGCCATGGACGCTGCCATCAAACATGGCCGTGGCGGTGAACCGGGACATTACGTATCGCCTCGTGCGCGTCACCGAGGGACCAACCGCTGGAGAGCTCCTCATCGTGGCCGCAGAACGGGCGCACGATCTCAGCCAGCGCAAAGTGGGCCTCTCGGAATTCGCCTCTGCTGATCGCGCAAAGCTCGGCGAGTTCGAGACGCTCGCGGAGTTCTCGGGCGCTGCGCTCTCGGGCTCGTCGTACCGGCATCTCTTCTTGCGGCGCGGAGCCGAGTCTCGGCCGATCCTCGCTGCGGACTACGTCACGGACACCAGCGGCACTGGCTTGGTCCACTGTGCCCCTGCACACGGTCAGGAGGACTACGCGCTCTACCGCAACACGCCTGCCCTTGCCAAGGAGCCGCTTCTCTCGCCCGTCGATGCCGCCGGCCGCTACACGGAGGACGTGCTGCAGTGCGGATCCGTCGCTGAGAACCTGCCGGGCAACGCGGTGACAGGCACGGGCGGTAGCATCGTGCGCGACCTGCTCGCTGAGAGCGGTGCGCTGCTCAGCGAATGGCCCATCACGCATAGCTTCCCCTGCGACTGGCGTACGAAGCAGCCCGTCATCACAAGGTGAGCATGCAGGCCCGCGTCACCTTCTTCTCGCTGACAGTGCCTGCGCAGAGCGACGTCGCAGTGGTTCGCAGACCTGACACCCATCAAGGACGCTGCCATTGCTGCGCTCGAGAAGGTCGAGTTCACGCCGCCGCAGGGCCGCAACCGCTTAGCCTCGCTCGTGGCTGGACGTTCCGAGTGGTGCATCTCGCGGCAGCGGCCGTGGGGTGTACCCATTCCTGTGCTCTACGACGCACACTCTCGCGAGCCGCTGTTGACGCCGGAGAACGTCGATCACATCACCGCCGTGCTGGGCGACAAGGGCAGCGACTACTGGTGGCAGGGTGATGCTGAGGAGTTTGTGGCGCCAGCTTACCGCGATGACGGACGGCGATGGATCAAGGGCACCGACACTGTCGACGTGTGGTTCGACAGCGGCACCAGCTGGACGAAGCTGCGCGAAGAGATCGGCGCCGAGCGTGATGCTGCCGGTGCGCCGCTGGCAGACATCTACCTCGAAGGCACGGATCAGGCGCGCGGCTGGTTCCAGTCCTCGCTCCTCACGCACATCGCGACTGCGCCAGAGGGCACCGTGCCGCAAGCCCCCTACGGCAAAGTCATCACGCATGGCTTCGTCGTCGACAAGCGCGGCAAGAAGATGAGCAAGAGCATCGGCAATGTCTTATCGCCGCTCTACTTCGTCAAGGGCGGCGCGACCAAGTCGGATCCGGCATACGGCGCAGACGTCCTGCGTCTGTGGGCCGCGCGCGGCGACTACAGCGCATCGATGCCCGTCGGCAACCTCATCGTCAAGCACACGAGCGACGCGATGCGCAAGCTGCGCAACACGGCTCGCTTCATGCTTGCTACGCTTCCGCGGCCGGATCAGGTCGCGCCGCTCGATGACCTGGCCACTGATGAGCTGACCCATGTGCGTTGACACCACCTGCTTTGCACGGCCTTGGCACTGACGCGCTGCGTTCCAGCTTGACCGCTACGTCCTGCACAAGCTGCGCGAGCTCGAGCTGTCGGTGAAGCACGACTACGAGGTGTTTGACTTTGCCGCCGGTGCGTCGGTCGCGTCCCAGCTCTGCCATGTTGCATGTGCTCATGGCGCTCTCCTTTTGCAGTGGTCCGGCAACTGGGCGAGTTCGCCAACGGCACGCTCAGCACCATCTACTTTACCGCCATCAAGGACGTGCTGTACTCGGACGCGCTGAGCAGCCCGAGGCGACGCGCGTGCATCGCCGTGCTCGACCAGGTAAGTGCGGATTTGAGGGATGGCGAGGCCATGAGGGGCTGACTTGCGCGGCCCTTCGTCAGACGCTGCGGACCTTCACGTCCATGCTTGCGCCAATCACGCCTCACCTTGCCGAGGAAATCCACCACTACCGCTCGGGCACAGAATCCGATCCGCAGCCGAACGAGCCTGCCGACTCCGTCTTCCAGCAGCGCTGGCAGGGCGTCGTGAGTCGGCACGTCGCAGATCGAGACGCGCCAGATGCTGACATGCACGCAGAATGAGCGCTGGACCGACAAGCAAAACGCGAGCGAAGTGCGCGACCTGCTGAAGCTGCGCGACTCGCTCTTGGCGCTCATTGAGCGGGTTCGCGAGGAGAAGTGAGCCAAGATCGAAGCGGCGTCGACGAGGCAGGGACTGACGCCCGACTTTGACGCTGCAGGAAAGTGCGCGTGGCCGATGAGAGCGAGGTCGACATTGATGTCGTCGACGGCCGCTACCCCGAGCTGGTGCGCCTGATCAAGGAGTATCGTGAGTCAGCAGCCTATTCTGTGCCAAGGCCGCGGTAAGCTGAATGTTTGCTTGCCTGACAGCGGCATACGACCTCACCGCCGTGCTCGGTGTGTCGCGCGTCAACGTCTTCAGTTCGCCCTCCGGTCCTCGGGCGGGGGAGAACCCCGATCCGCTCAAGGAAGCAGCAGACCTGCACGACGGCATCATGCTAGTGGTGCGCGCCACACCGCTCAAGCAGTGCCCGCGCTGCCGCGTGCACATCATCGAGCCGGAGCTGGAGGTGGAGGAGTGCGGACGCTGCGAGGAGGCACTGGTGGAGCACAAGGAGATGCAGAGGCTGAAGGAGGAGGAGAGGGATACGAAGATCAAGGAGAAGGAAGAGCAATGAGAAGCCTTTTGGCGCAGCACTGAGTAGGCAGCGTGCGAAGCAGCCGTGCGGGGTCTGGGCATTTGTCTATTGTCTCCCTGCATGCACCTACAGCACACCTGTGGACAGGCGTCAGCGAGACGTGCGAGACAGCATGACCTGGACAACACTCACCCTTCGTCGACGGCACATCATCGCGTCCCGTGCGCGTCACTGCCTCACGGATGGCGAGAGCGAGCGCCTTGAAAGCGCTCTCTGCGCGGTGGTGGTCATTGTCACCGCGCAAGCAGTCGACGTGCAGCGTGACGCCTGCGGCCATGGCAAACGAGTGGAAGACGTGCGGGATCATTTCGCAGCTGAGTTCGCCGATCTTCTCGCGCTTGAGGCCGAGCTCGGCGACGCAGTAGGGCCGCGAGGAAATGTCGATCACGGCGCGCGAGAGAGCCTCATCCAGCGGGGCATGGCCAGTGCCATACCGGCGGATACCGCGCACGGGACCGAGGGCGGCCTTGAAGGCCTCGCCGAGCGCCAAGGCACAGTCTTCCGCCGTGTGGTGGTCGTCGATGTGCAGGTCGCCGGCGCACGTGAGGGAGAGCGACATGCCGCCGTGCTTGGCGAGCGCATGCAGCATCTGGATATGGCGGGTCAGCATGCAGCAGCAAGATAGTCTTGCAGCTGCAGCGCAGGGCGGCGCGCAATAGCAGCTTGCCGACTGGGCTTCGCTGGCTTGTCCAGGCGACACGTCCACAGCCAAGCCAAGTGCCTCGGCGCTGCTGGAACGTCGATGGATCACGCTGGCAGCACGTGCAGTCCCATGTGCCCGCGTCCTGCTCCGCGCGCCGTACCTCCGCCCAGGCATGAGCTGCCGCCGCTGCGGCGACTCACGTGGTCGAGGAAGCCGATGCCCGTCTGCACGTCGATCTCCTGCTTGGCCGACGCGGCATCGACGTCGAGGCTGAGCGAGCACTTGATCTTGGTCTCGTTTGTGATGCGCTCGACGGTGGCGGAGCGGATGGGGAGCGACATGCCGGGCGATGTGAGGCGGAAAGATGGAGGTGGAGAGGCGAGAAGGCGGCGGTGTGGCGCACGACTCGAGAGCAGGCGGCGTGGGAACAGCGGGTGCACGGGCGGCTGACATAAGCACAGGCGAGCGCCGGGGCCGGGCCAGGCGGTGCCGGGCGCCGGGCCGCGCCTCGAGCCGGCTCGAGTTCTGGAGCCAGTGCGGGGCACCGCACCCGCTCGCTTCGCTTGCCAGCCCCTGCTCGCCACTTCCTCCTCCTCCACATCCACCTCCGCACTGCACACACCACGCCAGCCATGTCCGCCAACTCGCGTCTGCAGCAGCTCACCGCGCACCTCGGCAAGGGCCTCACCGGCGCACTGCTCGAGGGCCAGGTGGCCATCATCACCGGCTCGGGACAGGGCATCGGCAAGGCTGCCGCGCTCCTCTTCGCCGCGCACGGCGCGCACGTCGTCGTCTCCGACCTCGACGTGCAGAAGAGCAACGACACCGCAAAGGAGATTACCGAGAGCGGCGGCAGCGCCATTGCCGTGCCCGGCAACGTCATGGACCCCAAGTTTGGCGAGAACGTCGTCAAGGAGACGGTGGCCAAGTTCGGCAAGGTGCGTGGCAGCGCGGCGGGACAGCAGGCTGTACACCGTTGCTCTGAGCATGCTCCACACTCCGTAGCACGCTGGCTGCGCATTGTCTAGCAGCGAAGCCACACCCCCTCGCATCAATGCTCACCCTCCACCCCGCAGATCAACCACCTCGTCCTCAACGCCGGCTTCACAAACGACAAGATGATCCACACGACCGACGACGAGACCTTCCAGCTCATGCTCGACTGCCACACCGTGGCGCCGTTCCGCCTCGTGCGCGCCGCCGCGCCCTACATGCGCATCAAGGAGGTCGAGGCGCGCGAGAACCGCAGTGTCATCTGGGTGCGTGGGAGGCGGGAGAGGTGCTGCAAGCACGAGAGGTGCTTGTGGCATGTGCTGCTCAAAGCCTGGCGTGCATCACAGCTCACACAGCCATCCATCAGGTCTCCTCGACCTCCGGCACGCACGGCAACGTGGGCCAGATCAACTACTCTGCCGCCAAGGCCTGTACGTTCTCCCCTCATTTCCCCCCTTCCACTAAGTCTTGCTGACGCACATGCTTCGCACAGCCGTCGTGGGCATGAACAAGACGACGGCCAAGGAGTGGGGTCCCTTTGGCGTGCGCTCCAACTGCGTCGCCTACGGCTGGATCAACACGCGCCTCACTGCCGCCAAGGAGGCGGGTGCGTCGATTGAGATCAACGGCAAGAAGGTCGCGCTCGGCAGTGAGTCGCTCTGCTCGCCCCCCTGTACGCGCCGCATCAACTGACCTCACGCTCCGCAGTCCCGGGCCGCAAGCCCAACTCCGGCAACGACGTCAACGCAACGATCGACATTCCGCTGCGCCGGCCCGGAGAGGTGGGCGAGGCAGCGGCAGCCATTCTCTTCCTCGCCAGCCCGCTCGCGAGCTACGTCAGCGGCCAGACGCTCGAGGTCACCGGCGGACGCGGCATCTGAGCTTGCCGCTCGCTGAGGTCGCGCAGTGGAATGCCTAGCACCTTGTAGCATCTTGGCGAAGAGAGAGCATGAGAGATCGTAGAATTATTACAGGGACGTACAGAGACAGGCCTCCGGATGCGCAGCGCGACAGCTTTCCGAGACGGCGAGTGACCCGAGAAGGCAAGGCAGGCTACGAGCCGTACTTGACGGCGCGCTTGAACGCCGGCGGCAGAGAGCGAGCCAGTGCGAAGAAGGGCCGCTCCACAACGACGAGCTCGGCGCAGTATTCGTCCTGCTGCCCTTGCGCTGCGTCCATCGAGAGCGCGCCAGCAGCCCTTTGGAGGGCATCGACGAAGAGCAGCGGCTGATAGCGATGCGTCACCTTGACGCTCCACTCCTGCGTTGCCACCGGCGCTTCCTCCGTCGTCGAGCGGCGCTTCTTGGGTGTCGTGCCGTTCGTGATGGGCGTGGTGTCGAGCAGACGAGCGGTGCAAAGCCAAGTTGCGCCCCACAGCACCAGAGTGCGGGCCTGGCTCGGCGTAGTGGGCAGCCACGAGGCGCCGATGGCATGGTCGCGCAGTCGGCCGATCGAGGGCGTCAGAGCGGCGTTGAGCTCGGCATGCACTGCTCTGGCGCTCTCCACATCGTACAGCAGCACATTGTTGCTCGGCAGCACGAGTGCCACATGAGCTGCGCCGCGTCCCTGTGCCGGCGCGAAGACGGCGGCTGAAGGCACGAGTGCAGGCGAAGGCAGGGTGCGATGAGCAGAGAGCACGTCGAGGTTGAAAGTGTGGATGCGACGCTCGCTGTCGACCGAGAGGAGGTACTGAGAATCTCCCGAGATGGCCAGGAGATCGATGCGCGCAAAGCTGCTGCGCTTCGTCGAGCTCGAGGGGGCGACGTCTTCGGAGGAGGACTCTTCGTCTGAGTCAGCGGCGGCATGACCATTGACGCGGCCTGCCGTGGCGCGGCTGGAGGAGGAGGCGCCGCTGCGATGCTGACCGAAGCTCTGCAGCAGACGACACTCGTCGTTGGCGCCAGCAGGCAGCTCGATGATGTGCAGGAAGCTGCCCGGGTAGCTTGCGAGCACGAGTCGCGACGAATCAGGCGTGAACGCCAGAGCTGAAGCGCCGGGAGCGGAAGCGCCCTTTTGCGAGGCTCCGCTGCCGCTCGCGATCGCAGCGCCGAGGGAGCGTTGGCGTCTCGGCTCCAACGTCAGTTCCTCGCCTTCACCATGCGCGCGCAAAGCAAATAGCTTCGTCTCGTAGAGATCTCCCACGGCAAGCCATTTGCCATCAGCGCTGATGGCCAGCGCCACCAGGTTGCTCTTGCAGCGCATCTCCATCTCGAGGACCTTGCGCCATGCCTGCTGCTCCGTCTGTGCCGCCGCTTCTTCGACGGGCGCGGCAACCTCGGCACGCGCGGGCAGCGCCCAAATGCCAACACTGCGCTCTCGACGAAGAGCGAGCCAGCGACGACCGGCAGCGGAGACGACGGCGCCACCGCCGCTCAGCGCACTGCCGCGCGCAGTGGCGGGCATGTAGGAGAGTCGTCGTTGCGTCGTCTCGGCGAAGGAGGTGAGAGGATTCGTGCTGATGGGGTTTGCCTCGCCTTGTTGCGCCGGCACGACATTGCTGGCGCCGCGCTTCCGACGAGAGTCGTTGCCGCGCAACGAGAGCGCGCTCGGTGCAGATGCCGGCGTGAGGACGAGAGAGAAGTCATTGCCTCCAGAGACGAGGATGGGGAGCATGTGCGCCACTTCGTTGCCTTGCCTCTTCTCGCCCTTGACTGCTGCCGCGAGATCGAGGCTTGGAGAGAGTGCGAGTGTGCGCACATCATGGGCGTGCAGCTTGCGTGTTGTAGTGTGGATCCAGCGCTGCGAGTTGCCCTCGCCCACGAGAGCATACTCGCTGACCTTTGTATCGACGCTTCCAGCATAGACGCTCTTTCCGTCGGGCCCCGCCGCGAGGCAGAGCACATCTGCGCCGCGTGCGTGGTTTGCAAAACTGGCGCCAGGGAGCGCGACGTGGGTGCGTCCGTCGTAGAAGGTGACCTTGCCGAGCGAGTCGGCCAGCACAATGACGCCGGAGGGGAGCGCCAATGTGGCCCACACCACCGTGTGCTCGGCGCGCGAACGCTCCACGTTGAGCCTCGCGGCAACACGGCCGGTCTGCAAGTCCCACTGCAACGCCAGCGAGGAGGAGGTGCCGCCGACAAGGAAGCTCTCCTCCCACTGTTCTGCATCCTCTTCCTCGTCGTCACTGCTGCTCTCCTCGTCGCTCGAATCGTCGCCCTTGGCCTTCTTGGTCGGCTTGACTTGCGTCACCACGCGTCGAGGTGGGCCCCATGCCAGCGAGACGACGCGCGTCTTTGCGCGATCACAGCGCGCCACAATGCCTCGCAGCGAGCCGTCGCCCTGTCGACGGGCGGCACGGCTGGGTGCCAGCAGCTCGAAGCGTCCCTCGCAGACGTCGACGATGCGCACGACGCCGTCCTCGCACCCGAGCGCCAGGTAGCGGCCGAGAGGAGACGCCGCCATGCTCCAGATGGCACCGCCGCCGGAGGCGAGGGTGCGGCTGGTGCTGCTGCTGCGAGGCACAGCAGGCGGCGCAGAGCGCGAGCCAGAGAGAGAGACGTGCGAGAGGAGATGCGCAGGCAGGAAGTGCTCGGTGAGCCCAGCGCCGCCCGAGGTGGAGAAGAGGCGCGGAATCGGTGCTGCGGCGTGGCCCGCGGCCGTGGGCGCCGAAGGCGTGAGGACGAAGGCGAGCGAGTCGATCTTGGAGCCTGCGGCGCCGACGAGCGTCTGGCGGAGCGATGAGCCTCAGTCGGAAGATGCATGCCGGGAGATCGCTGCCCACTCACCGTGTCTACGACCCAGCCCTTTGCCTGGCCCTGCTCCTGCGTCCACACGCACAGCTCGACACTGCCGTCGTCGCGGCCCACGGCAAGCAGGCCGCGCTGCGCAGGCGCGCCGGGCGCCACGGCCAGCGCCGAGATGCGCGCGGGCGTCCAGTCGACGAAGCGCAGGCGATGCACGGCTGCGGCGGGCGCAGGCGCGGGAGCGGAGAGGGACATGGTGAGCGTGGAGACAAGGCCCTTGGGGAGACTCGCTTGTCGGTGGTGGTGGAGGCGAGGCAGGACGGCAGCGCGGCGAGAAGGATGCAGTTGGGCCGGCCGCACGGCACTTTTTTGGCGGGCGCGCGCGTCACGTGCCGGCGCGCCAGGGCGGCTGTGGCTTGCCTCGCGCTGCGAAGAAGCCGCTCTCCCTCTCCCTTCCGCCTCCACTCCCTGCACAGCATGACACTGACGCCGATCATCGCGCACCTCGCGCCCAGCGGGCAGCGCGCATACCACGCCGTCCTCACGCCCACCTCGCTGCACCTCCTCTCGCCCGCCGGCGCCCCGCTCGCCGTGCTCCCGTGCGCGCTGCCGCCGGCGCGCGCCTCGGCCGCCTTCATGGCGCAGCGCCACATCTGCGCCTCGCACGACGGCCGCGCACTCGCCCTCGTCGGCGACGACAAGCGCCTGCGCGTCTTTGCGCTCCACGTCAAGGAGCAGGCCATCGAGGGCCTGCAGGAGGGCAGCGAGCGCCTCGACTGCCCGCTGCCCAAGCGCGTCTCGGCGCTGGCATGGGAAGAGGCGGCGGGCGAGGAGCGCATCCTGCTCGTCGGCGACCGGCACGGCGATGTGCGCGCGTGAGTCTGGCCTCTGCCTCTCTCGCTGCTCTGCCGTGCATCTGACGCGCTGCGCAGTCTGCCCGTCTCCCTCTCCGGTCCTCTTCCCGCGCCTCTCGCACAAGTAGCAGCGGATAACGAGTCTCCCGACGCCGCCGAGGCTCGCGAAGCAGCGCAGCACCCCGCCATGACGCCGCGCATCGGCAGCGTCAGCATGCTGCTCTCCATGCTGCCCATTGCCTCTTCCTCCGCCGCCGCTCCGCCGGCCCATCTCATCACCACCGACCGCGACGCGCACATTCGCATCTCGCACTGGGGGGCGCAGCGCGCCGGGCACCTCATTGCGCGCTTCCTCCTGCGCGCCACGCTGCCAGTCTCGGCGCTTGCGCGTCCCCTCTCGCAGCCAGACCTCCTCCTCGCCTCCGAAGGCCCGCGTCTGCGTCTCTGGGCATGGCGCGCCGGCGAGATGCGCGCGCTGTGGGAGATGCCGCACGTGGAGAAGCACGTGTGTGTGGATGCACAGATGGAGCGGATGCGCGAGAATGGCAGCTTGGGCAAGTGGAATGCGCGCGGCAAGAAGCGCGCTGCGAGGGAGGAGGAGGGAGAGGAGGTGAAGCTCAGAGAGGAGCCAAAGACGCTCGTCGTGCGGGAGATGCAGGTGGTGAGGGAGGGAGACAAGGAGTGGCTCGTCTGGGTACTGGATGGGTGAGTCTGGCCTCTCCTCTTAGCGCAGGTGCAAGACTGATGCGGGCGCGTGTTGCGTAGATCAACGGCAGTGCACATGCTCCCCCTCCACGTCCTCCTCTCCTCGCCCTCCTCCGCGGCACCAGAGGATCCCTTGCAGTCGGCGTCGGACGAGCCAGCCACAGACGTCTCCTCGCACCTGCAGACGTTCGACTTCAAGCGTCCCGTCCTCTCGCTCGCCGTCGTCGAGCATGGAGAGCAGGGCCTGCAGCTGTGGGCTTCGTTGGATATGCGGGCCGATGTGGGAGCGGGAGAGGCGGGCGAGGAGGAGGAGGATGTCAAGGTGCTGGAGATCAAGGATGGAGGCGTGAGTGAACCTCTTGCCCTTGCCTCTCTTCTTCTCCTGCGGAACACAGGAGATGCCGCAAGCTGACCCATCCCTTCGTGCTGTCGCAGCTGCACGCATCGACCGCAGGCACCGACCTGGTCGCCGCTCTTGGCACTCGGGAAACCCGTGCGTCTCCTCTTCCCTTCCCCCCCCCCCCCCCCCTCCTCTTGCTTTCGCGTGCTGACCATCCCTCCTCAGTCGACGCCGCAGCTCTCTCCACCCTCGCTCTCTACCCGCATCTCACCGCCTCGCCCAAGCCCA